TAGGTTAACAATACCAGTCCCTTGAAAGCGTATCCAAGAAACTTTTCTTATAATCTTTGTTTTCCCCAATCAATACATCAACAATCTATTTTCGTCTTCACCGGTAAACGTGTAAGTATCCGGTTTTGGTAAAGCGCCCTTTAGTGTTCTACGAACGTTAAGGTTCTGTTCTCACTTAGACGATCGGCGAAAGAAGAGTGTGGCAACAAACACTTTATGAAAAACATGCATCATAGTTTATCAAAGACAATCGTTGCAAAATTGATGGTCATTTTCGGATTTATCCGAATGTGTTTACTAAAATTGACTTTATGTGCTTTTAGTTCAATCTTTAAGTCGTCCAGTCAAGGTTTAGGATTATGATAACAAATTTGTAGTCCTTGCGCTTTCCTTGTTGCGTGTTAATCATTCGTTGATCCTTTTTGAAATATTGTTACAAATCTAAGAAAACCTTTTCTAGGTTATGAGGGACGCTACTTACATGTAGTCGTGTTTCCTATTTCCCATCTTTGAAATGACCTTTCACCTTACAAAGGCACCACACCGATAACTTATTTGTTTCGATGAAAATAGGCACATAAATCGATAAAAAGACAAGTATGAATGGGTAAATTAATGATGAACGAGAAATTGAATCCCGTATCGACTCAAGGTGATGTCTATTTGATTTGATTGAGAAAAGTAACATCTATTTCAGGAAGTAGATCATCGTGTTTCTTAAGTTTGTGTGTGTGTTGACTATTTAAAGATAATCGACTTGAACACCATGAACAGTGGAGTGGTTTACTATTAATATCTGTCGGTCCTCCTCGTTATCTATAGGATAGAGACATGGAGATGAACAGCAATTCCCAATGAAATTACATTGTATGATGACTAAATTTCAGAGGAGGTTAGCCTCTATTTTGTTGGTTATCTCAAATCTAAATGTATATCACTCTTTGCTTTTTTTCTGTCAGTTGTGAGAGAAGGTGAGGCTTTCGTGAATTTTTTAACTTAAACCATCTATGGGAATTGTAATGTATCAATTTTTTGTTAGGAAATAGACCACACTTTGAATTTCTATTTTTTAAAGCTTTATTGTTAAGTAAACAACATCTCATATACATGTACACTTTATATTGTAAAAGTAAATCTTTTAAAAGATTAACATATATACTGATTATCATCAGTGACAGGAAGAATAATAGTCTCAATATGGACTTTTAAACATATTTCTGTCTATTTTTACAGAGCATAGAGTTGATTCATAGCTAAGGTACTTTTTGAATGATTCCTTAGACTAAAAGTTTTTTGGACTTTTTAAGAATTTTTATTTATGAATTCTCATGATTGAATTAAAACCTTTAAAAAGGTTGAATCCCTTAAGTGTTACCCTGAAGATATAATATCTTGTAGAATCTTAAATAATGTTATAAGTATTTCTTCTTTTAAATATGAAAATCATTGAGAAATCTCTGAGCCTTCCGATGCGTCTTAATTAGATATTTCTTTGCCAGCGTGCATTTTGTTCGGTGATATAAATAGCTTTAGATGCAAGTCAACACGTCAATGAGAACATCTTTCAATGTGTACAGAATGACATAGTTTCTGTAAGTCTTCACCACATTGTCAGTTAAGGTTAAACTCTAAAAAAGAGGAAAAAATAATATTGTTAATTGAAAGTTCATGCGCATGTATTCACTTTATCCTTTTAAAGTTTCTGCTGTCTTAGGAAGTGTAAATATATTTTCTAAATGCTAAAATTGATGTTCAGCAGCTTTTGAAATTAACATGATGGATATGAAAGGCACGTATGAAAAATAACGCCTGCAGCCTGTCTCGATAGTCCAGGCCGCGCTGATAACATTTTGTGTCTCTCTTCAAAAGTTTCAACGTTCACTATTAAGGTCAAATCTTAGATTTTGTCCCGCTTTACAGTTGTAGGAAACAATGGATGTTTTTTTTCCTTACCACACGTTTCATATTGACCAACGCTTGTAGGTATGTTGTAGTATAATGATCCAGGCTGGCCTCTGAGATGTGTTGAACAGTGGGTATTGATGAACCAGTTTTCTTTATCTGTGAATTGTCATATGATAAACATGCATAGGTTTTTCAGATTTAAGGAGGAAACTAAACACATCATTACTTAAAATTTGCGTTAGTTAGCAGTTTTAAAGGCAAATCAGCAGTATTGAGAGTCAGTTTCTTGGTCTACTTGTGGCTTTTGTCTGCCTTAGCAAGTTAGTATTTTAATTTTCGTTTTCGCTTTAAAACCGTATTCCGCTATTCTCTTACAATAAGTGAAGTAAAATCTTAACGAGATTAAAATGTAAGTCCCTTCATAAGGTAATAGTTAGTTTTGAAGGTAACTTACCTCACGCCTCAATCTCCACACTGTATTATTTAGGTGAAAACTGGTGTCTTTGAGCACTCTTGCCAACACTTTGTGCTGAGATCCTTTAGCTTCTTCACAGGAGTATGCCAGGTAAAGTGGACGGATGAAGTTGTAAAGTTGGATAAAGGCAATGGAGAGATTGTCTTTCTTTTGCTGAAGAGAGTTAAAATTGAGCAAATTGTTTTTATCTTAATAGTGTCATTTACTTACAGAAAGGAAAGTTCTGTCAAGCATTTTCTCAGACAATAGCGATCTTTGTAATGAGTTATAGTCCAACTTTTACTCAGTATTAAGAACTTGTTTCCAGGCTTGAAGTAATTATTGGAAAACTGAATCAGGCATTTTGCGTAAAATGAATCAATATACTGTGATGAAAAACCGTTTATCGCTAACTTAAAGTGGATAAAAGGTCTAATACTTACCAGATTTGAGGAACATACAGATGCGTCAGCCACTCCAAGAGCTAAGGGCGTCTCCTTTAGATCCCGGTTAGAAGCTATGAATTGGTAGACCCTCAACATCTGTAGATAATATAGCGATAGTTTACTATGAGCAAGTTTGCAAGCATTGTTTCGCAATCAGCATAACAGCGAAGTAGAATCAATAGAAATCAAGTTTTGATATCCAACCTCTTTCGTGGCATTGGCCCTTTTTGGCATAAGTGAAAGTCCGATGACGATTTCAGTATCACTTGGTCGATAACTCAACGGGGCTGTCCAAGCCACTGAGCTGATTGCAGTTACAATGAATAGGGCAGCCAACAAGGACTTGTAGAATTCCATTTCTAGTTAACAAAAAAATATTCGAAAAGTCAGCGTAGTGTCCTGCAATATGTAAAATGATTGAATTAACACGGCACTCGTAATCTTTTACCAACATTTTTCCCAGTGGTTCACGGTGTTATTTCAAGCAAAGTTGGGTAAGATCAGCTAATTAGCTGAATGGCAAATGAAAAAAAAATAACACTTTTCGAAGGTTATCCTTTTTTTAACCCAATGTTTTGAATGTACATTCTGTTAACATAAAACATATTTTCTCGTGGTAAATGGAAGAAGGAGCCTAGAAATTCCATCATTAAATAACAATAATCAAAACGACTTACCCTTTTCTTTTAAAGTATCTCTGGTAGATAAACGTCTCTGATTCGAAATCTCGCGTTGTTTTCTCTGGCTGTGTCTTGAGTAAATTGGAGGTAAAGAGCGTTTTGACTGCCTTTTATAAGAAACGTAAAGGAAGCTGTTTCATTATTTTACATCATCTTTTTGTTGAGCTTTTTTTGTTAGGTATATTCCGGATGACTCATTTTTTCAAATTTCGTCGTTCGCTTGCTGTGTCTTTTGAACTTTGTCAACTATTCCTTCCGTGGTAGTCAAATGATTCAGCCTTGTTGTATGAAGTTGATCAGTTTTGTATTCTATGTTTGATATGCAATAATTTTGAATTCGCGAGACCAATGCAATTTGACAGATTCATCTTGAATCTACGAGAAAGGCAAATTCCATAAAACTCCATAAAGATTGTTGAAAATTTGCGTTCTGTGGGTTAAAAAAGTTCTACCTATGGGTTTCAAAAAATCCCGAAAACTGCAAAGCCCCTTTAATCGAATCGGTCACGAGACCAGTGTTTCTCTTTGCAAGTCGACCTAGTCTACGGTTTCCGCCTCTTCAACGGTAATGTTCCTATAATCAAGGTTCCTGGTAAGAAAGGAAGAAACACCGCGTTCGTAACTGCGATCAAGCAAAAGAAAAGTGTGACAATAAATATCTTGCGTATTGTATATCATCATAGTGCTTAGAAGAGACGAGGTACAATGAGAGTTGCAATAATGTTATATTAATGCATCATTAGCGATGTATGATCTGTTTGGTGTTTAGTTAGACGCATCTCAGAATTTTTTTTTTATTAAAAGCGCCCGCTGAGCCCTGCTGGTTGAATGAGCGTGTGCAATATTTACAACGTGACTTCTGTGTTGACGTGATTCTATTTTCATATCAAACCAGCGGGGTCATTAGTTTATGGGTTTACGCCCTTGATTGGTTATAAGCAATCTATTTGTACTTTGTCACTATTCTCATCAATACATCAAGCAGAGGCCAAGGGCTGCTCAATAGTCTAAATTGAAGGAATGAACAATATTTCCTAATTTGCTGACTTAACGCCGCATGAACATATAATTTCACAGTTTAGGAAGGTGGATTTATCATTTGAATGAATTCCTCGTTGTCTACTAGAAATGTTAGATTCTCAAAAAACAAAGAATTGACTTTACATTTTGCGAACGATAAGTTGCACTTTCTTTATAGAATTAAAAAAATAGGTGATGATAGTAAGAGAACTCTGTACGGGTTAAATAATCATGACGTAACGACGATCATTTACTGTACCATGAACTGAACCACTCGCTCTCTTCTAAAGAATCCTTGTTATTACTTCCGCAAATGTATCCCAACCCATGCGTGAGCAGCGTGGCGTTTAAGTGTGTTTCATCACATTTAGAGGTCACATGTTTATTTGATCTCCATTTTAAAAATGCCCTGCTAAGAATAGATGAGAAGACTTTCTTTCCTTGTGTCTCGTGCAAATAGGTTTGTAATACTAATCTTTTGAAATCATATCCGGAGAAACTATGTTCTAATCCTTGTTTTCCTCAATGTATGAGTGAGTTTTCATTAGCGATTCATGGGCGTTAAAGTTCCGGTCGAACTTAGAAGATCGCCAACAGAACAGTGTGATATAAGAAGCATTTTATATCATGCGCCATAAGATATTTATAAAAAACGAATTATTGGATCGATGGTCAGCCCTGACGGTTGCGTCTAGCCGAATATATCTTCTTTAATTCAGTGACTTTAAGCTGCTTGCTAAACAGCGTTTGCGAGTAAATCTCCAAGTCGCTCAGTCAGGGTTCACGTGAGGAGTCCTTACGCTTTCTTTAATGCAGGTTTATCATGAATTTAGCCTTTTCTTAACCTCGTTGTAAATCCAGGAAAACTTTTCTTCTCGGTAATCTGAAATCGTACGGTAGAGACGAACGATTTGGCATATTACGGAATATTAATTTGCTCTTTCAGTTAACATATGCTTCACAGGAACAGGCCTTGTAATGGTTATAGAGTGAGATAAAGATGAGGACTCCGACCATCCAAGATATCGAAAATAATAAGTAGAGAAAACTTATTTTCATAATGTGACTATCGTTTCTATAACTTCTCTGTTTTTTGTTTATGACAACACTAATACAATAAGTTCGCTTGTGTCCCCCAACCTTTAAGGAGTCACAATAAGTGCACGTGACAAAGTGCTCATATATATTGTCAACGTTTGCAGTATCTGTAATAATTCAGTACGCTATAATGGAAGGACGATTTGGTTTCTGGTCGCACGATCTCGCCACATGCACTGATCCACAACTTCTCGGATAACATCTTTCAAGGTGTAGAGGATAACATAGTTCCGAAACCTCTTCACCATGTCGTCAGTAATCGTTCCTGTCTGAAAAAATAAAGGTATCTCAATTATTTTAATTATCTGTTGAATATATGTATCTTGAATCTGGAAACACATTAGTGGACAAATATATCTTGATAATCGTAAGACTGCATTATACTGAAATACAACAAGTTGAGGTACAGAAGCAGGTTATTATTAGCTTTAGTCTTTTCAAAATTGAACAAAACGCAGGTTTTACATGGTAAAAAATTTGAAAATTTTTTCTATTTAATGAAAACACGCAACGCACCACAAATTTTGTCATGTATTTCCGAGATATCTTGTCCAGGTATGACTCAGGATCTGATGTGGGTGTGCTTGGTACTGGATAGGAATTCCTCCTAAGCTGAAATTTGACGACAAAGTATATTATAAAGACACATCATAAAGTACATTGTAGGAGACGTATTGCTAGGTGTTTTACAAAGTATAATTACTATAAAGACATTGTCAAAAACACGATTAACGATCTTCTAGCTAAAAAAGAATTGCCGGCCACTGCAAAGAGTCTCACTATCACCACTTCCAATACTTTTTGTATTTACTCTTTACCTAAAATCCACAAACCTAACAACCCAGGTCGACCCATCGTCTCCGTCTTCAGTTGTCCCACCGAACTTATTTTCAGCTATTTAGACAAAATTATGGCACCTATTGTCAAAACTTTAAAGACAGCCAACACGCACTTGAAATTTTTCGCGAACTTAATTTCCTTAGCCGAAACAAACTTATTTTCACTATGGATATCACATCTCTTAATACAGTCATTCCCAATGACGAAGGTCTCCGGGCCTTCCGATCAACACATTGTTAAGGGACCCATAGCTCTGAAACAGTACTCCGCCTAGCCGAACTAGAACTAACACTCAATTGCTTTTCATTCGGTATCAACTGCTGCGAACAAACTAACGGCGTAGCCATGGATACTAAAATGGAACCCAGCTACGCCAATCTTTTCGTAGGCTTTATCGAACACCCATTTTTTAGTCAAAACAACGGCCCAAAACCTGAACTCTACGGTCGCTACATTAACGACTGCATCGGCGCCACCTCCTCTACCAGAGAGGAGCTCACTCAATTTATAACCGCCGTCAATTCTTTTCACCCGGCTCTGAAATATACCTGGGGAATTTCTGACACTTCTTTGGCTTTTCTAGACATCAAAATTTCAATTGAAGGCAACGGTCTGTGCACTAGGTGTTTACTACAAACCTACAGACTCACATAGTTACTTGTTGTATTCATCTTCGCATTCATCACAAGTCAAGAATTCCATACCATTTTCACATTTTTTCAGACTTCGTCGTTCATGTAGTGACAACTCTGATTTTTCAGAAAAATCAGAGGCAATGTGCCAGTTTTTCGATAAACGTGGCTATCCAGTTCTTGTCGTTCAAGTGGGCCACCCGGTACCGTGCCCAACAATGATCGACAGTCAGCAGTCACTACAAACGGCTGAGAAGGGAAATACTGATCGCCTTCCATTCACTCTCACATTTCACCCTCACAACCACGCTGTTAAATACATCATTTTCAAAAACTTTGAAGTACTTCAAAACGATTCAGAGACTGGTACTATCTTTCTGCAACCTCCACCAGTTTAATTCAAACGTGACAAAAACATAGGCAACTTTTTGGACAAAAGTTCATTTCAAACCAATAACAAACCTGGAACTTTCCAATGCGCTTGCTCAGTGTGCAAAACTTGTCCTTTCATTCATAACGTAGAGAAAATGTTTGGACCCAAGTGATCTATTAAGATCACTCACCACTTCACGTGTGCCTCCGCCAGTGTCATCTACTGCATAACTTTCACTGATTGCAAAAAGGTCACACATTGGTGACCGATTCCGAGAACACCTTCGCGACGTAGAATGAAATGACAAGGATTCATTGTAATCAGTCGTTAGAAACTTTAATCTCCCTAATAATGAATTTTTTTTTGCGGTGAAACGTTATCAACTCGGTTAATAATACTTAATTATCCTATATTATAGCGAAACACTGTGACATCAACTACAGACAAATAAATCTAGAAAATGACCAAATAAAACGTACTGAGACTGAATTGACAAACAACTAGAAATAGAAGGTTTGACAAAATTATACCTCAAATTCATTCTTAACTTCACCATGAATTTGTCACGAAAAGGAACGGAACTTTAATTTGCGCATTTAGTTTGTTTGATTTTAAAGTTTTGATCACTGCTATGCATGTTAATAGAAATACTTTTTTCGCATTCTCACCATATGAAGCAATGCATTCACTGTGGCTCTCAGGTGCAGGCGCACGTCCATGAGCAGACCTTTCAACCTCTTGTTCTGCGGTGTCTGTGCTACTTCATACGAGTACACCATGTTCACTGGATTTATGAAGTCTTTCATTTTGGCATAAGCGATGGTTAGGTTGTCTTTTCTTTGCTTTGAATAGAGAAATGAAACAAGCAAATAGTTATTTTGTAGTACCATAACCCTTAAAAGAAATTCTGCGAGGTTTAATATCTGCAAATTTTGCGGAAAAAAAAATCTCGTGAAATAAAGCGCTGCAAAGGTAACTACCTTTCGTCAAATTAAAAAAAAAGTGGGCAAAGAATAATAGTAGGCTTCTGAGATTTTTTCCGGGCCAGCACCTATGGAAAGTAATCTAATTCCATCTAAGAGTTTATTTGGATGAAATATTCCTAAATGACGGAATGCGCTGTTTTTCAACAATTTAAAAAAAATTAAATCATCAGTGTTTTCTTCCTTGTCAAATTTTTAGTGCTTCAGGACATGAACAACAGAATAAATTTTTTCCCGAAAGCTCAATGAGTTGTCACTATTCGCAAATCAAAACCTACGCAAATTTTTCGTTCTATATAATAGCATTCTTGAATCTTTCTTTTCTGATTAGTGGAGACGTGACTTTAGGGAACAGCGGCCTGTTACTAGTACAGAAATTTGGACAAAGGTCGGAGTTTTTCGTTTGATTGGAAATGTGTGTGTTTTTTTTGGACAACCACTAAAATGTTATGACAAAATGACACATAGATTCAAGAGACGGAAACCACGAGGCATAAAACCATATGTATGTGTCTGGTTGAAACTTTGTACTCCGAATTTATCAAATGAAAAAATGATGAGATACACTGTTATCCATATTAACAAATACAATAACGGATAGACTAATACTAGACTAACTAAACAATACTTGGTCGTACCTTGCCTATATCGCAAACTTGCGTGTTGACAACTCCAAGTGCAAGAGTGGTCTCGCTTAAATCATAGTTTGAAGCTATGAAACTGTAGACGTTGAGCATCTGTGGGAGAGAGATGTTAGTATTGACGATTGTTTTCTCGAGTTAGGCACTAGACAACGAAGTAAATAATTACAGCCGCATTCTCAAAAAAAACGCGACCATAATCAGCTAAATCAAATTCAATCATTTTACCTCTTTGGTAGCGTTTCTGCGAGAGGGTTCCAAGTGAATTCTCATGAAGATTTCCGCATCTGTAACGACTATCGCGAAACTAGTCGAGTTTAGCACTATTGATATAAACATGGCCGCGAACAGGAATTTACACTTGAATGCCATTTCTATAATGTTTGGATAATAAGTAGAAAAAGACAATTATGAAATAATCTGAGGAATTCGAGTTTGTTTAAGTCAAACTATGGAATAAAATAATAAGTTGCCTATCTTAGAAGAGGGCGTTTTACAGGCCCACTCTTTAAATAGGAACCTTTTGAAGTCGAGACTACGGATAAAACCACCGATTAAATCCTGAAAAGTTGTTATCCTCGAATTTGTTTATTTAAAGAATAATGTTTCCTCGCTGTTTAATTGAGAGGACATTTCACTTGCTCTCTTTTTTTAAAGAGCCCTTTTGAAACGTTTTTAACTCGACAGCGAGGTAAAGATTAAAGAAAAGGGTTCGTTCAAACTTGCATACCGGTGATTTTGCGATTTTTCCCCAAAGATCAGCCTATGTTTTATTGCCCTCTTCCTTAAAATTTTTTTTAACGATCAATTATGTAAAACTTGACTGCAAATGATCCTGCAATGGATCCTCGGAAACTAGCTTATGTTTTATTGTCCTCTTCCTTTAAATTCTTCTTCAAGGTGAATTATGTAAAATTTGGCTTAAGGCTTCCTATGAGTTCTATCAGGAGCTTAAAAATGCTTATTATATCTGTCTACACAAATGTAGAAGTCTCTCTTTACTCACCTTACACTTCTCTCTTCGTAGATAATTCAGACTGGCACGCTGAAAGAAGTCACAAGCATATCCTTTATTTCTTGTGTTCTTGACAGTTGCCTGCTATATCTTAATAGATTACCTGAATTTTTATTTTTAATCCGTTTGATTTGGTTAATCATTGATTGAGAGCAGATTGGTTTTGGATTTAAATTACATAGATTCTTTTCCAAGGTGAATTATGTAAAACTCGGCTTAAGGCTTCTAATGATTTCCAGCAGAAGCTTAAACGTGCATGGTATATCTGTCTATAAAAAACGTCGAAGTCTCTCTCTTAACTCACCTTACAGTTCATTCTTTGTAAACGATTTAGACTGGCACACGCTGAAAGAAGTCACAGTACAGGCACATCCCTTATTTCTTGTGTTCTTGGCGGTCACCGGCTTTGTCTAAATAGATTACCTGAATTTTTCATTTTAATCCGTTTGATTTGGATAATCATTGATTGAGAGCAGAATGGTTTTTGGAGAAAAACTAAAAAACTTGAGATTAACAATGATGATAAAACCAATAACAGTTCTTAGGACGCCTCTCTCAAGTCTCAATGTGTTTACTTACTAACTTTGAGGAACATGGTGGCGAACAAGGACGTGCAGAATTCCATTTCTAGTGGGCAAAAACGTTTTTAGCAAATCAGCGAAGTGTCGTAGAGTGCACAATGATTAAATAAGAAGACACTTCTATTCTTTTACCCAAACTTTGAGGAATTGACTTAGCAACTAAAAGATCTACATCGTTGATATATTTTTAGTGGTTCTTGATGTAGTCTAGTTTAGATCTATTTGAAGGAGGCATGGGTAGACAATTAGGTAGCCAATAGAAACTAATGACTGTCTTTTAACAAACCAAAGAGGAAGCTGTTTTTTCGGATCACACGATCTTTCCGTTAAGATTTTGTTATCAGGTATATTCTGGATGATTCATTTCGTTCGTTTGCTCTGTAAATGAAATCAATTTGAATTCATAAACTTTTATCTTTTGCACTTTGTTACTGTGCCTTTCATAGCAGTCGAACGATTCATCCGTGTTGAATCAAACTGACTTTTTACATAAACGTTCTGGTATGCAGGAATTTTGAACCTTTCGAAACCAATACAACTTCACAAATAAAGGCGATTATTTCTCTCCAAAAATGAGAATGGGTTCAAATTCCATGTAGATTGTTAAACGATTATTTGCGGTGGATAAAATATGGGGTAATTATCAGTTTACAAGAATCAAGAAGACTGGATAGCCCCTTAAAACTTGCAGGCTTCCCAAAATCGTTTCATTTTAGTCGATCACACTCGTGTTTTTACGAGATGGATTAGTCGATCTCGTTTACTGCTTTCTGTTCTTCGACGGTGTTGCTTCCATTATCAAAGTTCACGGTTAAAAGGAAACAAATTTCCGTTCGTAACTGCAATCATCCAAAAGAATAGCGTGACAAAAAATATCTTACCTATCTTCTATCATCATAGAGCTTAGTAGAGAAGAACAAAAACCGAAGGAATAATGTTGATTGCAATACATCCCTATTAATAGATGGATAACCACATCAAAATAAAAGCGCTTGCGGGGCCCTGACGGGTTGAATTATGATACGAAATAGTTACCATGTGACTTCTGTGTTGACGTAATTTTATTTTCATGTCGTGTGAGGGACAAAACCAACCGTTATTGCCGGAAATGGGTCATTAGTTTGTGGATTTAGGCCTTTGATTACTCAACGGTGATCTCTGAGTACTTTGTCACTGATGTGGTTTAAATTAAAACATCCTTTATTTGGGGTAATAACAACGAGGGGGATAGGAGCGGTGATTTAAAGAAATAGACAAGGTCCTGTTTGGTGACTTTTCGTTACAAGAACGATAAGTTTGTATTGTAGACGAGAGTAGAATTCAGCGTATTCATTTCAATCTTAAATCTAAAACCATCATCAATGAACAATAGAGTTTACATTTCGCGGATGGATAAGTTCTTCCTCCTGCTTTTAGCTATATTAAAAAACTAGCGGATGGATAAAAAAAGATCACAAAACAAAGCGAATTCTGAAAAAAAGAAAAGGAAAAAACTCCTCCTGCTTTTAGTTATATGTGACATTCCCCACTACACAGCCTTCTTTAAACTGTTTCAATTTCCGCAAGTGTATCCTAGCCTTTGCGTAAATAATATGGTGTTTCAATATATAAAACTGATAGCGATTAGAGGTCAAACCATGGTACAGAATGGCCAGACCTGTTAAATATTCACACTTCATTAGCAATGCATTAGCATAACAGCAACGCGATGGAACGCGAAATTTGAAAGCCGGCAATCAACATTTTAAAGGAAATGGCGCCAGAAAAGGGGGAATACCTAACTTTAATTTTCATTCTAAATGGGTCTCAGTTGGAAAAGTAAACACTTGTAGACTGCAAACCATACCATATAGGATAAGTAGATTCTATATTGCCTAGCTTCTGTTCAGTGATAGATCACAGAAGACGTCTGTGTGCCACGTTTTTTCTTACCACATATCGTCGTGTTATGTTACCTACAAAGAATCTATTTTTCCATTACAGTTCTCTGTAGTTATGTTGTAGAGCATAAAGAGCAAGAATCCGAAGGTTTTGGGTTCAATTCCTTATCAGGACTCAGAGTTTTTATTTCTCGCTAGTCACAAGACGAATAATATCTGTCAGTTAACACCGGAGAGATCATCGTGTTTTGTGTGACAACCTTTTTTATTCCATAATAGATATTTCAAGACGTTTGCACCTGAGCCTCGATTTCGTACACACGCACGAGACCCAGTCTTCTTCACACGCATCCAAACATATAGAACATGGACATCAGTGTAGAGACCCGGGTCGTAATATTTGGATTAACCAATTTCAAGATCACCCCGAATATCACATAGTTATGGTATATTACCAATAAATAAAGAAAATCAAATCATTTTTCTTTTCCCGATGGTTTATTGTTAATTTAACAACGACACCTTCACAGTTGCATCAAGAATTACCTTTGCGAATCTGTTACAGATAAACATATTCACTGATCCTCATCAGTAACAAAATGATAATCTCAATATGGACTGACTAACCCTACGTGTACTATAATAAGTGTAGCTTAACACTAACCTAACATACAAGTGTCTTAACGGAAGAATTAAATTTAAAAAAAAATGATTAAGCTTTGGGAGAGAGTTTTTCATTGAAGATGACAAACTGAGTTCATGAAAAAGTTATAATTAACACACTACTTGTACCCAAAGTTTATATTATGATATGACTTTAAGGTTCTTTAAATTTGCTTTTGTCAACGTTTGTAGTATCTGTAATAATTCAATACGCTTCTAAGGATGGACAAGTTGGTTTCTGGTTGCATTAGGTCGCCACAGACACTGATTCAAAACTTCTTGGATAACATCTTTCAAGGTGTAGAGGATAACATAGTTCCGATACCTCTTCACCATGTCGTCAGTAATCGTTCCTGTCTGAAAAATAAAAGTATCTCAATTATTTTAGTTATCTGTTTAAATACATGTATCTTGAATCTGAAAACACATTAGTGGACAAATACATTGTGATAATCATAAGATTGTATCATACTTAAGTACCACAGTTTGAGATACAAAAGCAGATCATTTTTAGCTCTGTCTGCATTAGATGGAGTAAAAAGACTTCGCGTAACGACACGGTACTGCTCTTTTCTTTTCCCTGGTGCTCATATTGGGGCTCTTATTAACTTTAAAGCAGTAGATTTTTCTATTATACGTTTCAAAGATTTTTCCCTCCCCCCTCCCCCCATTGAGATGGGGAATTCGTTAACCTCTCTACTCATTTCGCTATTGCATTAGCGTTTCATAGCATTTTTTACACATTAAAAACCTTGAAAACTCATTCTATAATGAAAACACGCAACATACCACAAATTTTGTCAAGTATTCGCGAGATAGCTGGTCTAGGTTTGCCTCAGGAACTGATGTGGGTGTGGATGGCACTGGATACGAATTCTTTGTTAGCTGAAATTTGAGAACAAAGTTAGCAAAACAATGACATTAACTGCTTCGAATTAAATAAAAATGTCCATATTTAAAAATAAATAAATAAGTAATTAGGAAGGAAAGTAATGGAACTTGCTGAAAGCGAAATGACATTCAATTAGGAATAGAAGGTTTGACAAAACCATACCTCTAATTCTTAATTTCTCCACGAATTCGCCACGAAAAGGAATGAAACGTTCATTCGTGTTTTTGTAAGTTTTCTTAATTTTTAATCACCCCCATGGTTGTTAATGGAAATATTGTTTAGCACTCTCACCTTATGACGCAATCTCATCGCTGTGTTGTTCAGGTGCTGACCGACTTTCATGAGCACACCTTTCAAAATCTTGTTCTGGGGTGTCTGTGCTGCCTCATACGAGTACGCCATGTACACTGGATTTATGAAATCTCTCATTTTGGCATAAGCGATGGTAAGGTTGTCTTTTCTTTGCTTTAAAGAGAGTAATGTCAGAAGCAAATAGTTATTTTTATAGTTCAATACCCCTTAAATAAGCAGAAGGCATGAAAATTTTGCGAGTTTTGATATTTGCAGATTTTGCGGAAAAAATACTACAAAGGCAGTTACTTTTGGTTCAATTAAAAATCTCAAGAAAAGTAGACAAAGAGTAAAAGTAGGCTATATGTCATGTTTTTTCCGGGTCAGCACTCTGCATTTGAGTTTCAAGGGTAAGCCGAATCGCATTTTTTTTACCCTTTGTAACATTTACCACCTCGTCATAAACCACAAACAATACTAGGTCGTACCTTGTCTGAGGCGCAAACTTGCGTGTTGGCATCTCCAAGTCTTAGAATGGTCTCGCTTAAGTCATTGCTTGAGGCTATGAAACTGTAGACGTTAAGCATCTGTGAAAGAGAGTATTTGAGTATCGATTAACGCTTTCTTGAGTTAGGCACCAGACTACGAAATAAATTACAGCCGAATTCTCAAAAATAGCGTAACCATAATGCAAAATCAAATTCAATCATTTCACCTCTCTGGTTGCGTTAGTGCGAGAGGGCTCCAAGAAAAGTCTCATGATGGTTTCCACACTTGAATACTTTGCTGCGAAACCAGTCGAGCTCAGCATCGTTAATGTAAACATGGCAGCGAACAGGAACTTACACTTGAATACCATTTCTATAATGTCTGGATAATAAGTAGAAAAAGACAAATATGAAATAATCTGAGGAATTCGAGCTTGTTTAAGTCTAACTATGAAATAAAGGGATACGTTGTTTATCTTATAAGAGGACGTTTTACAGGCCCCCTTTTTGAATTGGCACCTTTTGAAATCGTGACTACGGATAAAACCGCTGATTAAATCCTGAAAAGTTGTTATCCTATAATTATTTTATTTAATGAATAATGTTTCCTCGCTGTTTGATTGAGAGGACATTTTACTCGCTCTCTTTTTGGAAAAAGCCCTTTTGAAACGTTTTTAACTCCACAGTGAGGTAAAGATTAAAGAGAAGGGTTCTTTCAAACTTATCCCTAAGGATCAGAATGTGTTCTATTGCCCTCTTCCTTCAAGATAAATTATGTAAAACTTGGCTACAAATGATCCTGCTGTGGATCCCCGAAAATCAGCCTATGTTTTTTTCTCCTCTTCCTTTTAAATTCTTCTTCAAGGCGAATTGCGTTAAAAATTGGCTTAAGGCTTCCAATGAGTTCCATTAGGAGCTTAAACATGCATGATAAATTTGTGTACAAAAAATGTAGAAGTCTCTCTTAACTCACCTTACACTTCTTTCTTTGTAGAGGAATTTATCTGTTACGTTGAAGTCCAGTTTGTGTTGGATTCTTGAAAGTTTGTGTTTGGATCGCAACGCGCCTGCATTTATACAAATTGGGCAGGAAGCAGTTTGGTAGGTTTTGCATCATCTTTTCCATAAGGAACCAGTGGGTGTTTTCCTTGAAGCGTCTTCCTTACTCTCTCATTACCCTTCCATTTTAGAAAATTTCAGGAGAAATTTGTCAACTCTTCCTGGAGGGGCATTCAACATTCTCGATATTGAAATCATACCAAAAAAATGAGTCGACAAGAAATTATTTCCAACTTCACGAAAATGAAGCTATTCTTTGATTATGACCCACTGTAATAAAAACTAGCACTGGCCGACGCCGATTAGGGTACGTATGATGATGGTCATTGCATTCAAAGGCCTTATTTTCACTTATTCCTTTTCTGTTACCTTAAACCCTCATCTGTTTTTGAATCACACCGCTGCGAAAGGCCTTTAAACTCGAGGATTTGGGAGAATTTGAGATAATCACATGTGATAGTTCTCTTCCGCACTACTCAAAAAATTCATCTTAAACTTGGTGACCATGTATAATCGCTGATTTCCTTTTATAACAGTGAGTCCAATATTAACTTCCAAAAAAAAAATTTGGGTTTCAGTTTTCATTTGTGGGTAATTTTCCACTTATATGTTCCCTCACTGGACGACTTAAACGGACTGAAAAGGGTCACAGTAGTTTAACTAGTCATGTCGAAGACCTATCATTTGATCGTGAATTACTTAAGAAATTAGGTCGTGGAGACTTAACTCTATCACATCTGTTCAGCGCTACGCTTTCCACATATTATTGCACTGGGCGAGAGAAATCTAGAAAGGCCATAGCGGGTTATTTCAGGCAATATGATTTCCCAAAACAACGAATGCTGATTTGGAATTCTTGCTCCAATTTTTAAGTGGCAGTCATTTTTTTCTAGACTAGCACATTCATCGACAGTTGATAATATCTAATCTAAACTGGAAAAACTCGGTATCGCTTGACCTTGGAGATAAATTGGAGAGAGAAAAGAGCGCCGATCATCCTAAAATTGTATTTTTGTATAGAATAAATGGTTCCTTCCTATTTGACTGGGGCTATTTATTTTTAAACCAAAGGAAGTAAATTTATCGGACCTTCATTTGCGGGCTTTTCTCTTTCCATTTAACCAGGTCTGTATTGTATTGTTTCTTTATCGTATATTGCTTTGAATTTTTAATGTGTGACGCAGAGTATGATTTAGAGTCACAGCTACCATGATCTATTTATGAATAGAGTGCTCAGATATAATATTGAGCAGCTTGTTTGAAGGAGATGTATAATAATGTGTTGCGTGATTGTGGAATACTCTAGTATTGACGCAGGCAACTGAGTCAATTTCGCTTTTCAAACAGCATTAAGCTAAGGAAATTTATGAAAGTGACGGTGTAAATGCACGGAACCCTAAGGAACAATGATAACATGTTATTCTCTTTTTCTCACCCACGCCGAAGTGTGTAAGTTAGCTCTTTCGCCCGTTCTACCTATAATATGGAAATGTTGTTGATATAGAAATATTCTAGATGAAATATTAACAAATCTACTAAAGTTTTTGTGTCATAAAACAGAAAGCTAGACCAAGGATTTAAAGTTCACTGTTCACATACTATTACAGGTGTTTAACATAATGAAAATGCTATTCCCTAGTGAGCTTTAAGCCTTTTGACTTTGTTCAAACTTGAAAATTATTCTAATGCTGCCATTTCGTAAATTCAATTTTAATGATTGTTGTTTGTTAAACGAATGAAATGTGAAAAAGTGGTTTATTCAAAGGGATGATATCTGTACTAGCAATATGAAAAAATTGTTTTTTCACGGGGATGTTGTCTATATTAGCAATAGCAAGTAGAATTACCGTACAACGTTACTCCATATCATTTGACGTCAAGAAAAGTATATATCTGCCATCAAACGGTAGCTGCAAACCATTAATAAGGGCGAGTACTTGGCCCAACATTATTTGCGAGCAATAGTCTTTCTAAACACTAACTTCGGATCCGAATTCTAAGAGAATTACACGCTATAATTCAATCCTATAGCAGAAGCGGTGGTAGAACTGGCTGTCGCCATTACCCTGATATTGATTTAAGTTTTAGTAATCTTTCTCTGAACTATGCACACGTTTGGTAACCACAGCCAGGCCCGTCATTGATTGACTCCCAAATTACTGTTGCCGTACGGTTTCTTTTAGGATCCAGTCACACTGAACCGGTTGGAAGCAAGCGACTGGCGCGCAACACAGTATTTTAATTGGTAAATGTTATTGTGTCTTTCGAGAGTGGTGATCTATAATGGAGATTAGAATAACAAATGCTACTCGATCGTATGTTTTATTCAGTAAAGCTAAGACAAATATGTATCGAGTTCCACGGGAAGGTCACACTTTTGCGTCATTCACCCTCTCACCGTTTTGATTATTTTTAGAAATTGGACAAGGGAAAACGCGACGAATCATTCTAGAAGCTGAAAAAGGATTCTTTTAAGATTTTTTATGACTCGTAAACGTCATCGCCCTTTCTAGCTCTCGTCAACCAAGGAATTGCCCCCTCCCGAAACTCTGTGAGAATAGATTAGTTTTCTCCGTAACTTTAGGCCGTATTCTTGCGGATATAGAAATTGTAAGAAGTAAGCATACGATATTGCGCTTTAGAATTTGTGGTGAGTAGCACGACGTGAGGGACAAACAGCTTCGTAAACAAGTTGCAGAGGTTTTTTTTTTACTTGAGCTGGCGGGAACCTCATTTCATAGATACACAAGTTAGAGCCCCGAACACAAAGTATTTAGTTTTTATATAGAACATGAGTCAATCTCCAGATCGAGTTGGCACTTCGTAAAATCTTTAATAATATTGTTAATTTGTCAACACTATTTCTGGTGGTTATTTGAAAATTATTTATGTATATGAAAAAATACATCCGATCATGTTATGAAACTGAAGTATGAGATCACAAGGAAGTAGAAGGAGAAACTGGAAATGTGATAATATAATAGTTTCTGAATTCTGAATTAATTATCGATGCGAAGCAAGCTGTTTTTTAATGGAAGTATTTTATTTACAGAAATAATCGTCTAGCCCGGGGTGTTCGAAGGTTTGACAATGCTATCCATTGGATAAATCGCTAAACAGGGGATAACGCAGTACGTCTTGCTCTCATTTATCCGCTCGATAGCGATTTGTCCCTTGGCGGATAGCGTTATCCGACCTTTAGACAACTGGGCCCTGATCTTTATATTTGTTTACGTAAAATACCGTTTGTTCAGAATTTGTTAATGACCCGACTTACAATTCGATCTCAGCACGTGTATGCTTTCACATAGACGGATGGACCAAAAATTCGTGATTGATGAATTTTGATCTTTTCCTCAAAGGAGCACATTCTCTTGAGTTAAACGCCCCTTCTTACTTAAAATTCGGTCACGGTCGTTGTTTATCTTCCTAAAAGGCACTTACTAATACTGGCTAGAAGCCAGTATTAAACCACAAAACGTATCCTATCAATTCATCACTTTAGGAGAAATACATCACCAGAAATAGTTGTGTTTAATCATAAAAAGTGACTTTGAGAGAACTCGATAAAAACCTCGAACCGTTTCGGTATACCGCCTGTCTTCGCGCTTCGGAGGACCTAATTACTTCTTCCGCACTTTCAAGGATGATCACATAAAGCGTTACTGCCTATAAATCAGTAATCTCAAAAACACAAAATGATACTAACGCAGAGGGAAGCTCTGCGGCCTCGTTTGAATTTTAAAACAAGCGTCGCAGTTAGCGTCAGTTCTTAAAAGATGTTTATCAAAATATGTAATGTTTGATCTCATAACATTGATCAAAACTCACAAGAAGAGCGTTACACTATCCCATGTCTTTGAGTGTCTGTCACAGTGTTATGCACCATCGGTCACAAACGCTAAACCATTATCTAAATTTGGTCTACCGTTTTATACATGAGCCTCTGGCTCGGGCAATTGGGCAACCATGCCTCACGTTAGACAATAAACTTTGATTGATTGATTGATTGATTAAATGGGCGAAAGCATCTTTTTGTCAAGCTTGCATCATGTTCAAAGATACTAGGCCACTGAACGATAGCTCCTCGTCTCATTTTAAATTAATTAAAACTTTAAGTATCACTTACACGGAATTTTGTACAAATCATGTGTAGCATGCATTTCAAGCAATTATTTTTCAGCTCATAATCCTTAATGTATTTTCCCACAAACTTGATCAACTTTGCTACCTTACATCTCAAGGGGTGAACTAACCGCGGTAAGCTGTGAGGTCTGATATACCTAGCACATTCAGCATACTATATTCCGATAGAAATTAAAGCGTCTATATTAATTTTAGGAAGTTTTCTTGACTTTACTTTTTCTTTGAAGTCATGCAGTAAGTACAGGGCGAAACCTGTTTCGAGACGTCGTGGAGCGTGTATAAGATTATGAAGTTCCGCAACCTTTTCACGACATCATCTGTTACCGTCAATGTCTGAAAAAAAAAGCGAAACAAAAAATGTAAGTTTAACACTTTCAATTCTAAGGGCTTAAATTCTCTGCCCCGTCAGCCTTCATTTGGTGAAATTTTTTAGCTCTGAGAGCTTGCGGCTGAAGAAAATTATATTCCCTATTAGCTACAGTTCTTCTTTACCATCACGTATCTACGTACCGAAGATGTATCGATTTTGTGATGGCTTCTAAGATCTTAAGATGGCTTCTAAGCAATCAATTATAAAGGTTTGATCAATTTCATCGGAGCAAAAAGTAATGGGCAACCGTACTGGAGAGGTTTTTTACTTATAGTGTCAATTTAGCCCTTTGACGGAACTTATGAATAAATGGAATTGGGGATAGATTCAACAGTCATGCCTCACTTACCACGAGATTCCTTTGAATTAAGTTTTTCAGGTAAGAATCTGTCATGTTATTGACTTCAGCTTCAGATATTACAGGGTATTCTGGTGGCAAGATTCCCTTTTGTCTCATCTACAGAAAACGCAGAGAATAGAGCAATTTTGATTAAAACGAATGAGTGAAGGAAAAGTCAATTAACATAAAAACAAATTGATCATGATTTTTTGTTATAAATGAAACCAAAGAAAAAAAACGCACGACATGACATGTGGAAAATTATCTGAGGTATTCTTTCCATCACAAGTGTTAATCTCTGGTTTTACTTCTCTAACGAGCCACAAAAATGAAACGCTTATTATTTGTACTAGCAATGTACTGCACTAAACAGTTGAAATTGATATCGAGGATAGCACACTGTTTGCTATTTGCAATTTCATGTAAAAAGTAAATGTAGGATAATTAGTTGTTGTAGATAAGAAATTTGTTTTAATTTGCTGGTATGAGAAGAAGAGATTGTATATAGTTTTTCCTATCTTTCAAGGTGAATCTAACATTTCAGTGATAGGTATACATTGGGTACAACTTTTAGAATCCTCGCTCATAATGATTCCTCAACCTTTTAAGTTGCGACTGAATGGACCCAGTCTAATAATTTTTAGTGCACATTTGGTCAAACTTGTGACAAAAACTAAAAAATATTTTACTATCATAGTTAATCTAACCTGACGTCTGATAAAAGATACTGTGGCATTCACCATTAAACTCGTCGTCCTCAGAACTGATGCCAAGCTAGTGTGATTACGTCCTTGAGAACTTTCGTACATCACGACGAAGTTCAAAGGGCGCTGGAAAACAGCTACCTGTGAGTGCAGCGCGCTCAGCTTCTTTTCCACCTCCTGTCAAACATAATAAATACAACACTATCGTCCGCCCCTCAAACTAGTCTCATAACTGCGTTCTTAAAGAAAGCCTCTTTTTTGCCATTCAATATAAGAAGTAAAAATTGTAAGATCCTAAACCAACATATTTCTTAATTTTTTTTCTAATCTTATACTTTGTTTTAGATACTGATGTATTTCGTAATTGTAGCTGGAAACATACCCTCGAATTATCTCGTTTTCCGAAGATTTAAAAAGGCAATTTTTCCCTGCGTTGGTTACAGTACGGAATGAACGCGACGGAAACAACAGCATTTGATGAGATCATTATTTTGATACTTGAGAATAAATTATGGAATGATGTCCATGTTTTGATATAGCAGGATTATCAATGCTCATCAAAGCGCCAGCATAATGTTGTGGTTCCAGCCGACGATATCAGAATATTATCATCAAATGATTATGAATTAGTTATTGTATTAACTTTGCACATCTCAATCAAACTTCATAAACTAGCAATTTTTTCTGTCTATCTTTCTAGTATAACACATATTTAAGCCTGACTTCTTTGAGTCTGATTGGCATCTTAAAAACTGTGTGAAATTATTATACCCCGTTTATTCGTTTTTGATAAGCTAGAGAATTTTTGGGTTTTAAAAAATCTCTATTGACGAAATCCCTTATCGTGAGTTTATTCAACATATTTCCCTTTTTCCGCGGAGGTAAAATTCAAAGGGGAAACTTATCACTGTGTTTCCTGATGCTGTTTATTTGAAAAATATTGCCTCTTGCCACAAATGACACAACACTTCCACCAGTAGTATTTAAAACTTTAGAAATCATTTTGACATGATCTTTCATGTGGCCTAGTGCAACTTTGTACCTTCTCTTTGGTGCAGTCTTTCCCAAGATCGAGACCAAAAGTAATGAGCGGCTCGTAAAAATAGTCCGACGAAGTAAGGAAAGGGTATAGCAACTTCATCTGTAACATAAAACACATGAAGATTCTCAGTTAGCAAATTGGCCAGTGTAGTTTATTGCGAATGCTCGTCGATGAAACTTTATCGTAATCATAATTAAGAATGTTTTATGACTCGTAAAGCCTTCGGATTGCTAGCAAAAGAAATAATTGATGTGAAAAACTGATTTGAAAACAAACTTAGCATAGACCTTAAATGTATGAAGCTTTAGCCAACCCAAATTTAAGCCAGAATCGTTTCATAAGGCTAAATTTGAGACAGCTCTCTCACATATCAATCGAGTCCAGCACGTTTAGCAACAAGCAAAGTAATCATGAATTTTAAAGCTGATCATACTGCAACCTGAATCGTGGCGTTGTGTATCGCAGGAATAATGATAAGCTTGATCAAGAATGTCGCATGGCTTATCCTAAACCTTGGTGTAGATGAATTTGTTGCAGAGGCAGCTGTAGGCATTTTCAGCGTAATAAATACCAGGGCAAGGAAAACGATCTTCGTCGACTCCATTTCTGCTAAAACAGAGGGAAAAGGCAAAGGACACTTTTCTGCTCAGAATAATAGAATGGTGGACATCTTGCATTACAAGCTAATATCGTATTTATCCGTTACATCGTTGCGGAATTGCAATGTTTCTAATTGTGAACCCATTTTTTTTTCATCCCTGTCGTTTTCTCTGTGATGATGTTACGTTACTCCCATCCAATCCCTTAGTGCCTTGAGGTAGGCCTACGGCGGGCCAAATTTCCAACGAGCATATGCCAATCTGAACTATGATAGAATAATTTCGCTAGAATGTGACAGGTTTTAAGGTGGTTGTTCATTTAGAACATAAGGGAAATTGTTATGTCTATCGCAAAATTACCTATAAAATAACAACGGTACCGCCATCACCGTGACACTGCAAGGCGTTTGAATGAAATTCGCGTTATTATAAATAGGCGCAAAACAAGCACAATCACTTCCTGTTATGTATTACTAAATCTTCAAAGCAACGTTTATTACCTCCTTAGAACTTATGAGCTTCAGATTTTTGCTCCCATGCCATCTTCACTTGCATAACACATCAGGACTTTAGGAGTTTGTTTACTTCATGAGTCGATACTCATATTATATTTTTCGAGAATTGGTTTCCGTACATTTTTCAGATTATTGTTGACCTAGAATTAGTTACGCTGAAGGGAATTTCTACTGCTCGGTATGCACTTCTTACTTACCTTGGACTATGCCGTGGTCAAAGTCAACTTTTACAGTTTCATTCCTTGCGTGAGGCTGTGATCTGGGGAAGATCTCAGTTCTGAGAATGCGCGGTAAATGTTCATCTCCGGATTCTCGTGTTGCTTTGTTTACTTGGAAAGTTTGAAAGGCCATCCTTGAGATCAGCCATTAAGTATGGCCTTGAATAAGTGGGAACGTTTGACAACATTTGGAAAAATAAACCTGGCTTTCTTTTGTGATTACAACAAGCTGTGGAAATAAACGAAGTTGAATTTCATTTAAATCAAAATGCATTTGAGGACAACACTTTTGGTCTGAGGGGCTTAAAAACCCTTAGGCAAAGGACGGGAGACGGAGTTTTGAGAGCTAGAGATAAAGTTGAAAAAGAAAATAGTAAAAAAAATTATCAGAAAGAGAGTTACGGAATAAAAACAGTTCGATCATGTTATCGTTGTTAGTGTTGCTACAGAGTTCAGTAGACTTTGAGATCCTTCTTTTAATTAACAGCTCAACAGCAATGAAATAGTTATTGATAAGTTAACTATACATCATCGACTTTTTTGTCTAAAATAATGGAAATAATAAGATATATTTTACATTTCTTCGTACAGACGATGCTGCTTTCCCCTTTTAACTTTTAACATCATAACTCAATCTCTCCTCTGAAATCAAGTCCTCCTTGTTGTGTTTGCATTGTTTTGAATGTTTTCTGCAAACCTTTTTCTTATCAGAAATGTTATAATTCTAAGTACTCTGGAAGTCTGACCATGAGGTAAGACTAGAGTAAATTAAAATCTAAAAAGTTGTCGTATGTTTGTGAAGAATATCAACATGATCTTTAAAATAAGAGCCAAGCTATGTTCATACCCACATGAATAAATGTTTGGAACTTGATTGCAAATTATTGACAAAGTCTGCACCTCGATAACATGGATAATGGGTTTTTGTTCCTTCTGTCTAGATTAAAGTAATTTACGTCTGTGTACAATAAGTTAGCTGCACTTTAATTACTTTTACCAGTGATAGATAACTTATTAATGTTAAATTTGTCAGCTTAGTGATGGTCTTGTCAAATACCCTTTAGTTTCCGAGTATCTGTCGATTGAATCAAAGAAGTTCCTTTAGTTTTTTTATCATGGAAACAACAAAATGGATAGAAATTTCATTTGGCTTGCAGGCCTTTGTAGTAATTTTGCTTGTTGCTTTTTTCTACACGAAGTGTACCCAGACATGTTTTAGAGGAGCTATTTTCTTTAAACTGTCTGTGGTACATAAATAAAAGTTTCTCTCCATCTACACATCACAGTTACACAAAAATTGATGCTGTTACAGATTCTTAACACCATTCAGTAACCTGTCAACAGGTAGAGATATCTCGGACCACAGATTTCAGTCTTAATTGAGTCCCTTCTCCTATTCCACAGTCTTAACTAAACTAAATTACACTTCTTTTTCTTTCAATTTCGCTATCTACAATGAATTATATCAAGAATTATTTATCACCTTTTCATTTCATTTTTCATCTTTTGAAGACAGTAGCTTCTCACTTGATGTGTGATAAGACTAAAAATGCAGAAGCCTTTGTTTAGGTAAGTTTCGGATTAAAACCACTTACTATACATCTTTATTTCATTGGGTCACTGACAGCTGAAGTTCTTGGGTAGTGGTTTGACAAGCAAATGAAATATATCCTGGTTTATGACATGAATGCACTAAACCACCCACTTAAAACTGATTTGATCTCAAATTTTCTGACCTGCACTAAATTTAATGTATGTTATTGAGTATCTTGTCTAGTTAGTCATTGCGGGCAATTTGTCATTGGAGTTCCAAATTAATTTTTAGGAACAGTTCATCAATCTTAAGATGTCTTCTCCCTTATAATTATTTTCTTCAAGTATCATTCCTAAGAAACGTGAAAATTGACATATGTGCAGTATTCGTAATACCAGGCTAGCATTCTTTGAATCCAAGAAGTAAGTGATCCCCTTCCCTCGCCAGACTTATATGTAAGAGTCAAGAAAATTCCACGTACCACAAAATGATATTTAGCTAATTGATCGATCATTCGTAAATGTACAACATTAACATCAACGATAATCGTAACTGTATCATAGGCAAAACTATTGCCTGTATAGTTTTCTACATAGATAATCCCTTTCTCTATTATATAGAATGTCTACCAATTGGTTTCATTCCAATTTCTACCAACTCAGTAAGGTTCAACTGTATAAAAACACATTAAGCACCAGTGGAATTGTCTTATTTTTCTCAATGATTTTTTCCTACTGTTTTATAAAGTGCTATTCAAGGGGCTAATTAGTGAGAAATACACAACGTAAGATTCGTATGAGTCGTATGTGTGTGACGGATGTATCGCCATTTACACAAAATTTCCATGCTCAGATCTACTGAATTCCGATCTATTGAATTTTTATATTTTTGATGTTCTTGAGAAGAAATATTTTTATGTAATCATCTAATGTTAAAAAAAAGAAAAAATATATATATATGGCTTATTGAACTTTTTGTAGTAGCTGCTATCGTTTGCGGCGGATAGTATTTCAATCAGGTCCAAGATAAATCAAATGAACGTACCATCCCGAATATTATGCACCTACGTAAAATTTTCTCAATTTCGTTTTTAATACCGACAAATACATTACTATTTAACATATAATCATGCAAAATGCTATTTTAAGCGCTTGTTACTTTTGATTCATACGAGAAGCACAAATGATACTAGGAGTAGGACTTCTCAATGTGGAGTATTTTAAGTTTAGTACAGAAACGTGGTCACACAACAAAATATGCTCGCTCTAGATATTAAACAACGGGGAAGTAGCTCTTTCTACATGCTCATACTCACAGAATTCTACAATTACTAAAACACAGAGTTACCGCTCACCTTTTAAAGACGGGATACATTTAGCCCTCTCCTACTAACACAACCGTTAGCTCTGTATGTCACGTTCTGGCTTCTTTCGGTCGGTATGCTGCAGTCGCTTAGTCATATTGTAGATCAAGGTTTACAATACTGTAGTATTTGGTCCTTTGAATCGACTTTGCTGCGTCTCGAAGTAGAAATCCTCCATTATTTTCAGGCTTCTACGTTCAGCTACACGAAGTGAGACTAGGAATTCCCTATGTAGCTATTTCACACATTTTCTTCGAAAGATGGGAAGTTTATCTTTGAAAACAATTGGGCCTATTTAATGAGACTGTTTTTAAAGCGAATCATCGGAAATATAGGAAGCACTGAAGTATTCAATTTAAGATAATTGGTTTCCATGTGAAATCGAGCCTGGTTTAAGTTTGTGATTTGACAGATATATTTTAATTTGGTTCAAGAACTCTTGCATAATAATACATTTTTTGCGGTAATTATCCCAAACCGAACATTTTCTTTTACAGAACACATCCGGGCACATAATCAACACACCTAAGGATTAAAAGTGTCCCTGAGGTCTTTTCTGTATAAGGCTTTTAGCTAAGGAATTTTTGGTGAGTACAGCCGCTTATTTTGACTATTCAATTTATCGATGGAGCTCTACCTTCATGCAGTAATTAATTCATGGTAATGCACAGTTATTTATAATTTTAATAGTATAACAACAAAAAACATCTCTTTGATCCCAGTGACGAGGTGCCTTTCTTTATTCTTGTTTGGGGCTCCTACAAGGGAATTATTATTCATTATAGCCGCGGCAAATACAAGAAATCATAAGTGATGACATACATCTGATTGAAGTTTTCATATCTGACTTGTTTTTTTACCACCCTCCTGATGTCAAGTTATTTCATGAAGTTTCCTCAAGAGCTGATATAAATTTGTGCGATAAAAACTTCTTTGATGTACTTCTGTACTTCCTTTCTTATTTTTTAAATTTTTTTTTCTAAGAAATTATGAATTCATTTTCCCCCCGCTTCTGTATTTGTATTCATGTTAGGACTGTAGGATTGAAAGGAACATTTTCTGCAAGGATTTTATATTTTGGCGCCCTGAATAACTCCATTTCGAGAAGATCAAACCTAAAGTCATTGATTGCAATAACTGAGTAATTGTTTTCAGTCATGCATTTCTAGGAAGACTTAACAAGCTTTCTCGGAAATCATTTTATCAATTAAGATATTTATCTGATATTATACGTCATTAAGACGTTTCTGGCACATGGTTGTTTTACCCCCACATGAAAACAAACCAGCAGATGCAAACTCTTCACTTGCATAATGAATAGACGATTCTTCAATTTTGTAAAAAACTTTGATTTTACTAAGTGAAAAGCAATCAAGGTGTGGAGCATATGTACCAGGACACTTTTAAACATCGGGTGGAGTAAAATTTAATCAATTTATGATTTGATTGTTTTCGGTTAACGTGCTGCATATTTTTTAAACTGAGACAAAGTCATTGTATATTTAAACAGTTTAGTTCAAGGTTTTCATGATGGTGTTTGGTTCAGGCGTGTCGGTGTAACTTAGCGCAAGTAACAATCATTGTTTCGCCAAAAATCAATTCCCGGTATTTTCAAATGAAATGAAATGCACCTCCCTGACAATAGGCGTAGCACGATGCTACATCTATTGCTTATGGTCTTCTTATGTATTATCTTATGTATTTATATATTCCTACAATAAGAAAAAAGATTTGTAGGAATAAATACTTACCTGACTTATTCCATTGTTACACGCCTGATTATGGCATTTAAGATTTTTGCACGAAATTGGCTTGGAATTTCAAAGTTGTTAAGAAACAAAAACACGTTAGCTCTTTGTATAACACCATGTCGTTAGGAAGATAATAAAGTTGAGTCATCCTTCCCTGTTAAATTCACCACTATAAAACAGAACTATCAAGTGAGAACTCTTACTCGACGTAAGGTGATAACATCTCATTTCCACGAATTTCGTCCTCTAGATTTGACCTTCCTTTTTCTAGGAAATTCATCAATATCACATCATCCGAGTTGAGTGATATAGGGATAAAAATGTTTGGTATTTCGCTAAAACTCAATTCCCGGTATTTTCAAATGAAACGAAATGCACTTCCTTGATAATAGGCGTAGCACGATGCTACATCTATTGCTTATGGTCTTCTTATGTATTATTTTATGTATTTATATATTCTTACCATAAAGTAAAGATTTGCAGGAAGAAATACGTACCAGACTGATTCCAGTGGTATTCGCCTGATTTTGGCATTCGAGATTTTTGCACGAAAATTGGCTCGGAATTTCAACATTATTAACAAACAAAAGCACGGTATATCTTGCCAGAACACGGCCATGTCTTTAGGAAGGTAGTAAAGTTGACTCATCCTTTCCTGCTAAATTCTAAACTTTAAAACAGAACAACCAAATAAGAACTCTTACTCGACTTAAGCTGATAACATCTCATTTCCACGAATTTGGTCCTATAGATTTGACCTTCCTTTTTCTAGGAAATTCATCAATATCACATCATTCGAGGTGGGTGATATAAGGATAAAGATGTTTGGTGTCTAAAAAAACTCAATTCCCTGTAATTTTAAATAAAACGAAATGCACTTCCCTGACAATAGGCGTAGCACGATGCTACGTCTATTGCTTATGGCCTTCTTATGTATTATTTTATGTAATTATATATTCTAACCATAAGGAAAAGATTTGCAGGAAGAAATACGTACCAGACTGATTCCAGTGTTACTCGCCTGATTTTGGCATTCGAGATTTTTGCACGTAAATTGGCTTGGAATTTCAAAGTTGTTAAAAAAAACACGGTAGCTCTTGCCATAACACCATGTCTTTAGCAAGAATATAAAGTTGACTCATCCTTTCCTGTTAAATTCACAACTTTGAAACAAAACTTCCAGGCAAGAACTCTTACTCGACGTAAGGTGGTAATTTCTCATTTCCACGAATTTGGTCCTCTAGATTTGACCTTCCTTTTTCTAGGAAACTCATCAATATCACGTCATCCGAGTTAAGTGAAGGATAAAAATGTTTGGTGTTTCGCTAAAACTCAATTCCCGGTATTTTCAAATAAAACGAAATACACCTCCTTGACAATAGGCGTAGCACGGTACTTCGTCTATTGCTTATGGTCTTCTTATATATTCTTACCATAAGGAAAAGATTTGCAGGAAGAAATACGTACCTGACTGATTCCAATGTTATTCGCCTGATTTTGGCATCGAGATTTTTGCACGAAAATTGGCATGGAATTTCGAAGTTGTTAAGAAACAAAAACACGGTAGCTCTTGCCATAACACCATGTTTTTAGGAAGATAGTAAAGTTGACTCATCCTTTCCTGTTAAATTCATAACTTTTAAACAGAACTATCAAGCAAGAACTCTTACTCGACGAAAAGGTGATAATATCTAATTTCCACGAATTTCGTCCTCTAGATTTCATCTTCCTTTTTCTAGGAAATTCATCGATGTCACGTCATCCGAGTTAAGTGATATAAGGATAAAAACGTTTGGTGTCTCGCTAAAACTCAATTCCCGGTATTTTCAAATGAAAAGAAATACACCTCCATGAAATAGGCGTAGCACGGTGCTACATCTATTGCTTATGGTCTTCTTATGTATTATTTTATGTATTTATATATTCTTATTATAAGGAAAAGATTTGCAGGAAGAAATACGTACCTGACTGATTCCAGTGTTATTCGCCTGATTTTGACATTCGAGATTTTTGCACGAAAATGGGCTCGGAATTTCAAAGTTGTTAAGAAACAAAAACACGGTAGCTCTTGCCATAACACCATGTCTTTAGGAAGGTAGTAAAGTTGACTCATCCTTTCCTGTTAAATTTATAACTTTAAAACAGAACTACTAAGCAAGAACTCTTACTCGACGTAAGGTTATAATTTCTCATTTCCACGAATTTGGTCCTCTAGATTTGACCTTCCTTTTTCTAGGAATTTCATCAATATCACGTCATCCGAGTTAAGTGATATAGGGATAAAAATATTTTGTGTCCTTAAAGGAGGTGAAATATAACTTTCTCAGCAAAATAAATCTTATTTTAACAAAGATTTGATTTTCTTTATTAGGGTTTTCCTACTGTTTTACTTTAAAGCCGAACTGTCATAGTTGAGCGGCACCAGACATTACTTATCAAAAGACCGCTTTATTTTTTCCGCAATCACTGAATGTGCGTCATTCCGGGATTTCCGAGAAGAGTGAAATAAGGTGATATTGAGAGCATCGACTTATCCCAGATATTGCTGTCGGAACTCATGGTTAAGATGAAAGACGAAGACACAGAGACGTTTCCCTTGAAAACATAAAGCTGGCTAAATATAATAACTCTTAAGAGTTTTTTTCGTAAATGCATGGTGCAGTCAATAAATTGACAAAATATCGAGGAGAGAAAACAGACAACAAATTTAAGGAGTAAATGAAACTTTACTTAATGTGTTTCCATATATCATCTGCATTTACAGCTAACATCGCCCTATTCAGATTTTCTTCCATAAAAAGTTATTGAGAGAAAGTTAAAGTTTCTTTTTAGTCGTAAATCTTACTGTTTAGGCTTTACATTTGATTCAAACAGATTGACTACGTTTCCGGCTGGTTTGTATCGCGCCACCACGTACACATTTAAGTTGTCTTTGGTTTTTGCCTTTGCCATTCCAAGCTCATTTGAAGCACCCCAAACCAACTGAAAAGGAAAAAAAAATCATTTAGACGACTGACAAATATTACGCAATACAAAAACTTAGTCGATCCATGTTTAACGGCTTAATGAAATGAGAGACGGAACTTTTCATAAAACATACGTACTTCACTTAACAAGGGGTACACCGTTTCCTCAGAGGTAAGAAAGCTGAATAGAAGTGCAGCAAAAAAAAAAAGGGCAAAGTTAATCATAGTCAGGTTCCCTAAGAGATATTTAATGCGCTTCATTCATCTTGCATCACAGTAAATTCGAGCAATATACAGGAACAACAGCAACAAAGGGTGGTTTAGAATCGACCATCCTTCTCTCTCAACATCTGAATGTGCGGTACAGGTGAATATCCAGAGAGAGGGGGGAAAGGGGGAGGAGGGGGGAGGAAGGAGAAAGAGAAGGGTTTTCATTAGTTGAGATAGTTATTAAGATAAAAATGTACAATTAGTGTATGGTCCCGAGGGAAACAATTTTTTTTTTGTCTTCCCGAGAGTCCTGATGTTTCCCGAGACGAAGTCGAAAGAAACATAAGGACTCGAGGGAAAACAAAACAAACTTGTTTCCGGAGGGACCATACATTAAGTGCTTTGCTTTCATATATTTATACTTTCCCTTAAACAATCATAATTATGGGAAAAACGAGCTGTTGCATTCGGCGCGCGGGCAACAATTGCGCAATTGTATCTCGGTCGGGATACATTTAAATTTGATCAGGGGCACAAGACCAAGAATCAACTTATCACAGTGCTCGTTTTTTTGAGTGAAAGTCTAGGTATGTAGCATAAACTGTTGGTTGGGGTCTGATTGAGTCTATCAGCGACACCGCGTTTCTAAAACACAAAACGTTATGACGCTCCACGCTCCTGGTAGGCAAATACCATCGCTTATAATCCTGTCATACATTTTTATATCTTTTACCTGTGAAAAATGGCCACTGTCCTTTGAAAATTTAGGCTCTTTAAAGTTGTACAGTCCCACTTCGGTGTACCATGCATCAATTGCCCGCAGTAATGCCTTATCATCACTGCCAACCTCGGCCAGATTTTCACCATAATCAGTCGCACTCTCGTTCTCATGTATAAGTCTCTGTTCTCTGGCTAATTTGTCGGCCCAGTCCTGCGCTTTTGCTGCCATTTCCTTGTTCCAAGTTAACAACGGGGCCTGGTGCATTGCTCTGTACATGTTGTGAAGCATCAACGCATCTTTACTTTCATCAGCATTGGGGCCTACGGAGAAAATAAAGCGGTGCACAATATTACCTTTCTCAAAGAAATGAAGTTTTGCGACCCTTGTGACGATATTAGCTTTTACCATGCCTACCAGGCCTGATTTTCATGCATTAATGATAATGATTTCAATCACCAATAGTGCTTTTTTAGTAACAGAGCTAAGAGTCAATTCCAAATGACACAGATCAGTATACAAAATAATCGAGTATAAGCAATCTTGATGCAAAATGTATGCAAAAAAGTGATAAATGAAAATAAAACTCGGAAAAATTTGTTCTATCAACCTATGTCGCCCAATTCAGGCAAGATATTCTGTATACATGAAGCAGCTGCATGAAAAGGTCTACCACCATACGTAAGGCTTCATACCTCTATCTTGACAAAGAGGACCCCAGTATCCCTCAGGACACGTACAGGTGGCATTGCCCTCCTTTACTTCACAGGTGCCACCGTTCTTGCAAGGATTTGGCTCGCATGGGTTTAAAGGCAGAGGCTTCGTCGTCAGTGGGACTGAGGTAGGCTTTGGACCTATATTTCAGAAAAAACAAAAAATTTATTTCAATAATAGTGGTTTCTCAATGAACTTGACAACTATTATTCCGCCAATTCGCTTTCATTAATTAATTCTTAATGTTATGTATAAATTTCAATCATGATTCAGGTATTGCACGAACTCGAAGCAGACGACTAACTCTACCATGCGAAATATGTTGTGGTGTATGGACCACTGTATTAGTTTCTAGGTGAAATTGACTGCATGGATGGGCTTGTTCGAGGCTTTTCATTTATATGGAATGCTTAATTATGCCGCTGGACTCGTTGTCGGCCATTTGTCCTGTTGAATTACCTGAACATAGTATGTAAACGATCTATTGCTACTGTCGAAAAGAAAAGGCCATTCCTATCGACCAGAAAACTACGAGATTCAACCAGCCGAGGAGCCGTGTTAGTTTTACAGTAGATGAATTGATGATGCCCTTGTGGCCATCAAATTTATTCCATGAACATTTCGTGGTAAATCAATCGACAAGAAACTTTTTCCGGTAACCACCACTTCGTTTATGAGTTAATTTTTCTGAAATCTAATCACGATGTTGAAAGAATTATTTGTAGTGAGATATGGATAGCTTAGATAGATAGATTTTCTGCAAAAGATGAAATTAACGAGGAAACATGCTTAATTGATGATCATGAAAGTCAAATCATTTCATCTTTTCGTATAGGGTAAGACAGGTTTTATTCAGAGCACTTGGTAACGGCCAAGGCACGTTCACAAACAATTTTTTATTGCTTTTTAAACTATTGCTTCCTTCAGATCCGCAATGTTAAGTTCCTTTTCCAAAAATTGCAATCACAAGCGGTGGTTTTATATTTTTTTCGTATAACATATGCATCTATTTCACGTTTTCTGCCCTTCCTAAGATTTTGGAACCGTCGTTGGGTAACAAGTGCCGTTTTTGAGAAATACCTTTAAATGTAACGTAACTTTCTGATGCATAACAAAGGCATTAGAAAAGCGCAAAACACTCGAAAGCCTCTTCTACTGTTGATGCCAGCTTGAATTGGATGGGTTTTGAAAAACTAGCTGGCCAAAAATTTGACGTATAGTCAATTCTCGTAGACGCATCGGATTCCAACCAAAAACGGTACTTGTTCCCACGACTGAATACTTAAATCATGGTTGCTCATGCTTGTGAACACACCGTGTCCTTCTCCAGTCTTGCAGTGACATTCTGTACCTGTTGTAACCGTAGATTTGGTCGTTTGTGTTGTCGTAATATTTGTTATCCCTGGTTTTGTTGTGGGTTTCGTTGTTTCTTGTCCTACTGTTGTTGTTGATGTCAATGTTGACAACGTAGTACCAGTTGTTGTTTGAGCACTGGATAAAGTGGAAGGTTTTGTTGTTGGTCTGGCTGTTGTTTTACCTGTTGATGTTGTTACAGTCGGTGTTGTTGCCCCTTGACTTGTTGTTATTTCTGTGGATGCGGTGGTTGATAATCCTGATGGTTTACTAGCAGATGAAATCGTTTGTGACGTCAACTCTGGCTTTGTAGTCGTTACAGTCGTTGGCGTTGTCTGTGCAGCTGTTGTCGGAAACTGTTGAGGAGGAGTAGTTGTGGGTACTGTTTCTCCAGGGCTTCCCGTGGATGACGGTTTTGTTAATTCTGGTTTTGTTGTTGTCTCAGATGTTGATGTTGTCTGTACAGGTGTTGTTGGAAATTGCTGTGGAGGATTACTTGTGGTAGTCGTAGTCAAAGTTGTTTGTTCTGGGCCCGCTGTCGAGGAAGCAGTTGTCATCTGTGGTTTTAAAGTGGTTCCTGGGGTAGGTGTTGTCTGTTCAGGAAACGTTTGTGGAGGATTCTTAGTTGTGGGTGTCCCAGTTGTAGTTGTGGACTCAGAATTTAGTGTAGATGAAGTGGTGGTCAGATCTGGTTTCATCGTGGTTCCTGTAGTTGGTGTTGTCTGTGCAGGCGTAGTTGCCGGAAATTGTTGTGGAGGAGGCGTAGTCGTTGGTTTTGATGTTGTGATCTCTGAACTACTCGTCGTAGTTGTACTTGCCGTTGTTTCTGGTGGGGTTAGTGACAGTGAGGAAGTTGGGAATGTCTGTTCTGGTTTCAGCGTGGTTGTGGTTGTTTGTGTAGTTATTAGCTCAGGTTTTGTGGTAGCGGTCATGGTTGTTTCGTCCGTCGTTACCTCAGGACTAACAGTTGTAGCTGTTGTTGATTCTGGTTTTAATGTTCCAGTGGTCGGGGCAGTGGTTTTTGTTGATTGTGAACCAGCCGTGGTTTTTGTTGTCGTTAATGTTTCTGGTTGCGCTGTTGTTGGGACTGTTTGAGTTGTTGTTATTCCCGTAGATTGTTCTGGTTTGGGAGTTGTCATATTCCCTATCGATTTTCATCGAGAAATAAATGCATTGAACAGCTGGTAAGCATTTTTTGAAGGTACTTTATAAGTATCGGAGATCTAAGGAAAAATTATTCCAAAAGACCACAGATGACATTTTTGACCCGAAAAATATTTCCCGCCAAAGCTTGGAAAGTCTTTTTTACAACCAGACCTACCCACGACATACTTTCAAATATCAAAACGTAGGAAATAAGAAGCGTGATCGAGAGATTTTGGTCCTCTCAGCGAGGAAAGCACGCGAAAATCACCATAATCTTAGTCATAGTAATATAATGGCATGACGTGAGAGTCTCACGTGATAGAAACGTGCGATTCGCCTCACTGAAAAGCTTCTTCTCTTATTGTAGCTTCAAACTTTGATTGTGAGTTTCGTATCGGTATGTGATCATTTTTTCTGTTTCTATAGCTCTTAAAAAAGATTGTTTTTGTTTTAATTTCTATTCCTTTCGATAAGGGATGTTTGAAGTCTAGTCCGATGGTTACTTTCATCATTTAAGTATTATAATTATCATAGTATCTACTGATAACAATTCTGTTATTTACTTATAATACTTAGTGCAATTAGAATCTTCTCGAACCTGAAATCTATTACTTGAATTATTTAATGCAAGTTCAAATTAGATTTTTAACGAAAATTATAACAGTTTGTTTCAAAGTTGATGGTATTCTCACCTTTTATCGCGATCCTATCCAATGCGATGAACAGTTTCCGAGTAATATTTGATTACTGGTTATTTAATTGGGCTGTATTAAATAAATTAATAGGAACTATTTTCAATATTAGTTGGTTAGATATATGCTTTCCATTAGAGCTAGAAAGACGAACTCAGAAGCTATTGTTAAACTTTTTGTTTTCAGAAAGGTATTTAATGATTCTCGCCATCAAAACAAAACCCATCCATGAACAAAGTCGAAATAGTGAAGAGCGAATTTAAGCCTAAACGAACTCAGACTCAAATTATAACTCAGCTATATTGTTTTTTTTTTGTTTATCGCTGTTTTATCAATATGTTCACTTGGTCAAACCTGGAAATAACCCTCATATTAAGAACGTATCAATTGGGCTGGGTCAATTTCAACAGCTAATGCGCATAAAGCTGTTCCCCCCCCGTATCCCGTTCAAAGAATAACTAAAAGAGCAAAGAACTTGAGAGGAAAAAAAAGGATTTTTACGAAAGAATACAAAAAGAAAAAAGGATTTTAACAAAAGAACAAAAAGGATCTTGACAAGAGAATAGTGCATCTAATTTACGTGAGGAATCAGTTACTTTGCGAAAAGTAACAGCATGCAGATTGCTGCAAATTTTGCATGCCGTTACCTCCTCCATTACTCGTTTCTTTTGTTGTTTTTGTCGGGCGAGCGGTACCTACCAGGTTTAAATATGTGGTAAGTTTAACTTGTTGAAAATAAAAGCAAGTCAAGGTGACTCCTCGATCGCTATGATCGTTTTTAATATTGTGACTTAATGGTAATTATATTTAAAGAAGTCAACGTCATTGGTGACTTTCTAATGAATGATTAAGGGCATAAATGCGAATTTTTCAATTAGGTATGAATATGCACACAGTGAACTTTTTCTCCTCTGGATTAGGTTGATCAGAGTTAGATCTCAAAAAAGAAATTAGAGGAAATTCATATAAAAAGGGCTATTCATGATTTAACCAAAGATCTGAGATCTCTGAGATCTAGTTCTGTCTTATTTAGGCCAACTTACGAAATATGGACGAATCTAAGACTAGCTAGGAGAAATAGCAAAGTTGATAGCAGCAGATAAACGATACCTTAGAACTGACCAGACATTCAGTTGTCCGAATTTTCAAAGAGGTTTTCATTGCGCAGGGTTAACATTAATTTACGGGTTGATGGAACCCTCATTTAAAATAGATCTGGCACGATTTAGTGGTATCGCCAGAAACACTTCACCATTTAAGGTTTCTTACCTTCGGGAATTAAGGTGACGTTAGGTCTACCACGACATTCTAAAAGGTAACAATGGCAAAATTAACAACAATCAACCGCAAGTCTAGCGATCACAATATGTTACGAACCAGCATGAAATAGACCAACAAGAAAACAAATCTTCGTATCCTTTAAAATTTCAGGTGTAATACTTCTGTTGGCGTATTCGATACAGACGTTACCTTATACGTTATTCAGAAGTGAGTAGTCTGAAATGTCTTTTGGTTTTTCCCCCATTGAAAGAGAATATGATAAATTAGCATATGTTTTTATAATGTTGAACAGCTCCTTCTATTATTTCCATCCTCTAAAATGCAATTCGATGAATATAAATGATGCTTACAATGATTATCTTAATATATCATAAATTTTCTGTGGAGAGCCTCACTTTGAACAACGGCATAAGTGGAGGTCGTACTGTTCACCACAAAATATTGGCACTGAGAGTTATTTTTCGGTGCAGGACCTGGGCAGTATAGAAAGAAAATGTCAATTGCACAGTAATCTGATGATCTGAATTACTCAGCACGTCATCTCTGTCAGAAAATTATTTTTCATGAAGTGCCATTGATTAAGCCAAAGAAATGAAATTGATTATTTTATCAAAAATTATCATTGAGAATTTACGTATCAAGTTTTGTCTAATTCATTCTCGAAGTTTCCCATAATTCTGTCATTAATCGTATTAAAAAAAAAACCTGAAAGTACATTTCTCACGTTAAAAGTTTAATGTTGATACCCTACCGGGTGGTTCTCGAGTTGGCGGAAAAACAGTAGCGCTGCCGTTTTTCGGCACACCAGTGTTTGGTGAAGTGGCCGAAGGCAGTGGAGTGGGGATGCTACCTCCGCCTGTCAAAAAAAAAACCAAACGTCATTTACTTTATTTGTGTGACATTGAAAAATGGCTGGTTCATTTCATTGAATACTCTATTATACTTTTTTTACGTTTAATTGCGAACTGACCCTAATTCAGAAGAAATATATTACTCATTAAAAGCGCCATGACAAACCATCAAATGCCATGCGTGAACAGAGCCGGCCTATTCTTAGTAATTCTAACTTTTTGAATGATTATAAAGCTGTCTTTGAGAAAGATGGCAGATTTTGATTTCTAATTATAACTAAATGCAGGAGGCTTGTCACATATGAATTGACTAATGGCTTAGCTACATGTAACATCGAGTGGCTCAGAGGCAGAGCGCGAAATTCTGAGGTCTGGAGCTCCTTAAGCAATGCAAACAAAGGCTAAAGGGCATAAAAAAGAAGCTATTAAGGTTTGTGCTGGTCTCCTAACTAAATCATAATTTTACCTGATGCAGGGGTAGCGGCAGCAGTCGCGTCGTTCATAAGAAGAGTCCCTGGCCTAGTGGGCGTTGGAGGGGACTGGGTAGAAGTATTGACTGAAGCTGTCGGGTCTGAAATGGTTCCTAAATTTTGAAATACATAACATAGTTAGGTACCCAATATTCCAGTTTCACTAGAATAATTTTTGAGAACAATTTTTCAATATCTTATGGTTTGTACCTCTATTTTCTTTCTGTTATGTATTAAGCTCCTTCAACTAAGATCCCTCCTACCGAGTTCATCAGAAATGACACTTCCTAATAATCCCTGAAAAGGCCACAAAATAGAAGCCAGACGTTCTACTCACGTCCACGCATTTTACACCTGTACCCCTGGATTTTACCATATGGTGAATATTTGCCTATCATATTATGATTAGCCAGCTAATGAATCTGACAACTCTCTTTCGAACGAGATTTATTTGATACCAGAGTGTCTATGGCTATGGCTACACAGAGGACTCATTGAAATGCAAATAGGTCGTGATTAATTTATAACAATATATACCCGGAGGAAAAACATTGTCTTTAAAAATGGCGGGTCCCCCTCTGTTTCCACGAGGACTGTACCGAGCCACAGCTATGAAACCGTACTTGTTGCTCTTTGCAGTTCCAATACCAAACTGACGGGAGTTTTTCCATACTTCCTATAATTAGATGAACATTTATAAAAAACACATCCCAGTTTTATAATGCGAGAAGTTATTGAGCACAATGAAACTAATAAGAGTAAAGGTTGATGTCTTTGTTTTGGTAAATCATTCAACAATATCAGATAGGAAAAGGAAAAGCAAAAGCCCGGCCCACTAATAATAATTTTTCGTCTAGTATGTTTATTCATGGGAAATATTCATAAATTATTTTTATATCTTCGCTAAAATGTAGAGAATGTAATCCAAACCCGAACGAGAAAGGATTAAAGAAAGGGAAAGTGTTTGGCGGGGTAGAATTACCCATTTTAGTCCCTTAACGGTGTATATTCTTTCTCGGGAAAAAACGGAAAAACAATTACCTTTTCCTTTTTTCCCTTTTTTTCCTACTTTTTGGGTAACGAATTCGTAATTCATTCTTAGACCAACAGGTACTTGCCTGTGTAAAATGCATTACCACGCCCCCGGGCGTTTTGGGTTTTCCCATTCCAAAGTCATAATTTTTGACCTCATCGTACCAGCCGTCAACAATCTCTCGACACTGAACGCAGTCGTCCCTCTTGGGTCCTTGACACTTCGCCTTGTACGGCTTGAAGAAAGCCAAATTTTCTCCTTGGTGTTTGTCTTGCATACTGCTATAATCGTGTTCGAAAGTGTCACTTTCAGCCAAGAAAGTTGCCCATGTGCGAGCATCAGCTGCGAGAGCTTCTGACCAAGTGAGGTCTGGAACACCATGTCGCCTTCTCAATAAATTGGTCGAAATTAAGCAGTTTTCGTCAAAAATATCGAATGACGCGCCTGTGAGGCAAATTTTAGATTTCAGCTTTCACCGGTTTCGTTACATATATTTCCTCTTATTTGAATCAACCTTTGACTACAAACATCTACGCTTGAAATTGAGAATTCATTTTAACAAGTAACAAGTTCTTCACACTTGTGATACATCTTTTAAGTAACATAAATATTTCGTGGAGTGTTTAAATTGGGAAACTGTTGTGGGTAATGCTCAATCATCTTCAATAAAGATAAGTAGCGGTGTTTAAAAACAGGCCTTTTAATTAATTGAGAACAGAATATGTCACGATTATCATTTATCGTATCATCGTTCATTTTATTACCCATTCCAAAAATAACCAGTTTTTCCATACCATAACTTCACCACCGAAATACTGGGAAGTGAAACTTTTCAATAGGTTTTAGAGGGTTACGTAAACATGGTTGCTGGATCTACAAATCTATTTTGACTTAAAAACACTTTTGGTCTGCGTCCTCATCACTTTTATTTATGAATAATACTGACATTTATAATGGCTTCACATGATAAAATAAACGAAGAGAAAAAGTGTTATGTACAGTACCCAGGGTGAACAAGACTTGAAAAACCACAAAAACAAGCATGTCGTTGGGCTGATGATGATCCGCTAAACCTATTGTAAAATGTAACATGAATTAAAACCAAAAGATCAACACTCTACGGATTGCAAACCGAAGCACACTTCTTATGGTGCGGCATCTCTGCTCTGTGATTTGATATCAATATGAATAACTTTAAAGTTACTGAAATTGAAATACAGGGTGTCTCTCGTTGGAAACCTACCTGCTTTGAAAGCAAAATCCTCGCAGTAAAATTTACGTTTCGCATACATTAGCCATAGATCGTCTTCAAAAACTTGCCATGACCAACAAATTGATCATTGATTAAAAACTGACTGCGATAACGCGACTGTAGGTGATGCACGCTTAGACATTATTTTGCGCTGTCAGTTACACGTGCAACTTAGTATACTTCAGTTTAAGTACAGCCGAAGAAGTATGTACTTAGATTGAATATGATCGGTTAGGTCTGGTCCAGTTGGTGTATGAAAGGTGAGGGTGTGTGAAGAAAGCTAGCACTTGAATCAATTGAGCCATTGAAAAGTTATGGAAACACTCTTATCATGAAGTTTTATTTTGAAAGTCATTAAACCGAATCTCAAGTATTACTCAGTTAAATTTTTTTTATTGAAACATTTAATCGCAGGAGTCGAGCCTATAATCTCCTAATAGGGAACGATTCACCGGTATCCAACTTTCTTTGTAATGTGACATTTCTTACAATGTGATAAAAGAAAAATTAAGATAATAGAGTGATAATTTCCCAGTGTTCAATAGTTTGATTGATATAAATTTAATAAAAAAGATTGGTCCACTCACCAGTCAGCCTTGCTCCAGCCAAGCTAACGCAACATTTCTCGACGTAGCTTTCCTCTTGTCGAAATTTCAGTTTTGTTTCACCTCATTACTTTCACTTTGTCGAATATAGTGATCGAGTTCAAATGTTATTTATTATTGAAAACTGAGGTTGTGCTTTGTGCCACAAGATGAATAAAGTTGTACAGGTGGATGAATGAGAAGCTTAAACGCTTGTTGAACATGTCTCTCTCGAGAATAGTTAAGTCCTCAGGTTTCTATTATTGTTAAGTCTAGATGTTTAAGTAATTTGTTTTACAGTGATTTCCTAATGTGTTGCTTAACCAAATTTTACACACAGCATACTGAGTCAGATACAACTGTAACTTTGTTACAGGTATTGTACCCATAACAAAGAAAAGACAACCAAATGTCCCTTCGTCTTTTTGATTCCATAATTTTGATTGAGCCTCGTAATGATACTTTTAACGATTTCTCAAAGGATCACGGTATGAGTTGTCAGCCTCGTTGCGATGTCTGCATTTCTGTATTGCTGTCCGTTCAGTGGCATCTTTTTTTTTATGCGCTTTCGTATGAGTCTTTTTTCTTTTAATTGCAACGGCAGATTGTAATGACTTTTTAAGTCTTCAGGCTCTGACCTGGGGTTATCTTTGGCATCGTAATGATATCCGACTCTCGCAATCAATTGTTACGTTATTCATGTTTCATGCTGTGGTTTTCAATACGTTTTTCTGAGCCTCGCAGTGATTGAGAAATTATTTTATGCTTCTACATGTCCTTAGGTTTAGCGGTGTCTACGAGTAGTTTTTGATCCTCGAAACCGTGATTTCTGTTTAACTTCCTCAGGTGAGAGAGCGAGTTGGTAATCTTGTTTTCGAGTTGTACATTTTCCTTGATACTCGCAATATTTTCTCTCAACAAGAAGCTGTGGTTTGGAAATTAGAGTGGAAAATAAGATTTAAAACACCATCCCCACTCTTGTCTAATCCGGAATTTTTGTATAGTGTAAAACAGGGTTGTGTAAGGAAAAGGCACAATGGGAAGTGCTTTCTTATCGGGACGATTATTTATCAACGGAAGTAATGTCAGTTATAACACACTATCTGGAGCACCTCTTTTTAAGTTTGCAATTTTAATTTATTCATTTCAAGAGAAAGAGCCATCCATAGCTTTAACGTATGCCTTCTTTAACCTTGAATTTATGTGTTTATCTCAGACATTGATTTACTACTCGTTAGCCTTTATAGTAGCTTGCACCCAGTCCTTCAGCACCTGTACTTTGGAATAGACACCATACGCGTTAGGCTGAGCACATCCCACTCCCCAGCTGACAACGCCAGTCAGATACCAACGGCCCTCATGTAAACAGCTCAGCGGTCCACCACTGTCTCCTTGACATGCGTCTATTCCTCCTTTGGGAAAACCTGCACAGATCATGCGGTCTGTAAGCTTCTCGCCATATGCCTGTTTGCACGTTTTTTTGCTAACCAGCGGTATCTTTGCCATGCGCAGCATTCCGGCTAACTCTCCTCCTTGCTGTGTTCTTCCGAATCCAGTTACGTAACACTTTGATTGCTCGTCAAACGTCTCGCTACCATCTGGCATACACACGGGTCGAATGTATGTGCTAAACTCTTTAAGTGGTTCCTCCAGTTGCACAAGGGCGATATCGTAATCCAATGTTTTAAAATTGTAGTTTGGATGCATGATGATTTTCTTTGTTTTTACTGAGATTTCTTGCTCCTCTTTATTCGCCTTGTCAAACTCACCCAGCTTCACCACTAACACAGCGTTTTTGTTCATACTGAGCAAGTCATAAACGCAGTGAGACGCAGTGGCGATCCATTCTTTGTTTATTAGGGATCCTCCGCAGAAGATTATGTCATTTGCATCACGTTTGAATCCTGCTTGCCACGGCCAGGCACCTGGATATGCGACTTCACCTCCAACAATACGGCTGGGTTTTCTGATTCCACAAGTCATGGAGTTCCCGTTTGGTCCAGAGCTTGTCGTAGGGGCTGGTGACGAGGGCGGGCCGAAATTAGGAAAAATATGCATGAGCAAAGGTTGAAGCAGATGAAGCTTGTATATTGTTGGTTTCGATTTCGATCGTAATGTCAATATTTATACGATTGCGCCCTTATAATACTTATAATTCCATCCTCCTTACATTCTCCCCTCAAATAATGTTTTAGAGGTTGAGGTCATAGGGGAGGGGGGCAGCGCTAAGAGTCGTCGCTGATAATCCATACATATTTCTAACCAAGTAGGCTTATTTCCCTTTAGTATGCAAATAATCACCCTCGAATAGCCTGGCGGAAACCACAAGCCGTGTGAGTATATTCTGGCATTGACCAATATTTCGTCTCATTTCAATTTTGTAAGAAAGAATATGATTGTAAATCAGTTTTTCTACTGGAACTACTTTTGGGCTAACTACGAGAAATCAAAAAAACACTCAGCTTACCTTGCGTCTCATTTTCTTCTGGGTTTATCCCTTGAGGAAATTCTAGAAATCAATTTTAAGAAAATCAAGGAACCAAGTTAACTAGTGGACTTTTGTAAGGAATGAATTAAACAGCTTTATAGCATAGCTAGTAAATTTGTCTAATCAAATTCAATTCAGCGAGCGTGCTTCATATTCCTATTTTGCACGCTCATGACGTCAGCAAACAAGTCCCTCGAGAAAAAATTTTCCTTCGGGTTGAAAATGTTATAAAACAATTGGTTCATACGTCAGCTGTGCGTTTATCGAGATATGAAGCACTTGGGAAGTTTGGAGAGCACTCAAGAAGCTAGAGGCATCTTTCGTGCTCTCCAAACTTCCCGCGTGCTTCATATCTCAATGAACGTCGTTATGATAACATAAACATTACCTCAGACAAATACGAGAACTACACACAAACGACATCACCAACATCATAAACGCCATGATTGTTTTTCAAGTCATTGATATCATCTCTATTTAACACAAATATATTGATGTTTTGTTTATTGAAATTCTTTGTGCGTCCATTTTGTACTTCCCATTAACTCTAGTGCGTCCTCACCGCCGTGAAGTGAGGTATTTTTACTTACTTTGCACGACTTTGGTGATCTTTATTACAGTTGTTTCTGGCTTCGACTTTGTATTTTGATCTGTTATGTTTGGAAAGGAGCAATGATTTACTAAAAAAATTAATTGTGTGCAATTTTTTTTGGAATGTTTTTACGGAAGAGACGAATAAAATGTAAGAAATGCATTTGTTAGGATGATAGCGAGAGTAAGTTAGAGTAGTAATTTTGCAATCAGTGCATATACCTTTAGTTCTCGTGAGGGATTGCTAAGTAGTCATGGTAGCCTGTTTTTTTTTTTACCTGTTGTATCTAGAGAAACGTTTCCAGATTTTTGACCTAAAAGATAGATCATACATGCATCATATTCTTCTTGTCTTCGAAGTTATTTAGGTTTAACTAACTTATCGGATTGTAACAGACATTTCGAAACCGAATCGTTCATCGATTAATTATTTGCCCATTTATTTATCATCTATCTATCCAAACTTAATAGTCTTTTTCCGTTTATTTCCATATGTACGAAAATGTTATGTCCGTCCTTACACGTGTTGCAGACATTTTAACTAAAAAGGGGCTCGGAGAGTTCCAGTCAGTTTAGTAAACCTGAGATGTAGCTGAGGGTTTCTACAACTGTGGAAGATTCAATATGCCGAGTGTTATGGAAACACGCGAAATGTATGCTACTGCTCTACGATATTTATAAAAAACTACCCACGATTCTCATGCATCACCAGAAGGTTTATGTTCTTTCACCTCAACGCACTTATCGACCAATGAGAGCAGGTGTAATATCTCAATCATTCTACGAAAATCTTTAGTCAACGCACCTGAAGGAACGACGTTCTGCAGAAAAGAAACAGTTCCACCTGTGCTTCCCATGGGACTATATCGTGCTACTATTATCAAGCCATGTTCATTACTTCGAGCACTCCCCATCCCTAGTTCTGTTGTGGACTTCCATACAATCTGTGTTAGAGGACATTGTGTTCAAGTGAACAGACAAATCGGTTTTGCGCAGCCGGGTGGCATAACGTAACATGTACGTGGAAAACAATGTTTGATAAAATCTGAGAATAACATTTTGAGCTGCCACTAATCGCGTTAGGTTACTTCTAACAGATCATGGTGCCTTTGGGTAAAGCAAGGAAAAAATATCTGTATGTGCGTCTGGGCTCTGATAAATTATGGGCAACAACTTATCGCAGCGCGAACCCATTGTATGGTAAGATAATTATACTGAAACGTCCTCGACTTAGGTTTCTACTGATGAAACTGAAAACCAAGACATAATTAACAGAGATGTAATTAGCTTTGTTTGCCACAAACAGTTAGTCGGAAATCTATTTTCATTCTAGCGTACTTTGCCCTTAGCTTGAGCAATTTAAATTCGTACATTACCTGATTGAAGTGATGGACAGGTTGACCTGGATCAATCGCAGCACCTTTCTGAAAGTCGTAATTTTTTCCTTCGCTGTACCACTTCTTTACAATATCTCCGCAGCCTACACAGCCAGGCTTTTTAGGTCCCTCACACTTTTCAGTTGTCGAATTAATCCAAGCAATGTTTTCTCCTTGGCCCTTTGTGATAAGATCCTGGTAATCATGTTCCACACGGTCCCTATTCGCTAAGTTTTCAGCCCATTTCTGGGCCTCCCCGGCCAAAGACTCTGACCAGCAAAGGGCAGAAGCATTGTGGAGTGCTCTTAACTGATTATGGACACGGACACATTCTTTGTCGAATTCATCATATGCGAGCCCTTAAAAGTATTTAAATTTCAACAAGATTAAATATACAGGAAAGCAAAAACAATATTTTCATAACGATTCTAACACTTTTAGAGTAGCAATGGCCTAAAATCCGGTTTATATGATCACCAGGATTCGGTCAATCAACAACATTTCGACTCTACCTTCAAGAGTTAAACAGATACTATCTTTTGAATTCTCTTCCATTTGATTCGTTCGTTAAAAGTACTTAGATGATGTATACACTATTCTTACCCTTCAAAGCGAGACTGATCACCAGGAGCGTAAACATAAGGTAACCATACCTTGATAGGCAAATCTCCTAAATTAAAAGTGAGTCGATAAGAAATATTCGGTTATCAAACAGACCGAACTGCCATTTGTTTTCCCTGTAATCAGTATTTCTTATTCAATATATTACATCTGATTGCCTATGTCGCTCACTTAACAGGTGTACTGTTACTTGGAGGGAAAGCCAAAAAGTTTTTCAATCTCAAATCTCATAACTTATCTTGAAAATTGTGTCAGAAAAGTCCCTGTTCTAAAAACAATGAATAGTTGTTTTCGTTGTCAAATATAACGCTATTGTTATATCTAATGCCTTCTAATATATCACTTTCACAGTCGTAATAAGAACGACTGTTTCTGTTGTGAATTCCTCATTGAAATCTTCAGGTCTCTGTTCAAAAAAACTTAGAGATAGTTACACTTAAACGTATACATTTGGCTAATGAAAAGTTGATCAACTGAATATTCAAAGATATTCCTAATCACACACAATATTGAAATTGTTTAAGAGGGACAAAGGTTACTTCCTCGATACGATTTTTAATAAATGACACTAAACCTTTCTGAAGGCCCAAAAAGAAATCACCTGGAGATTCATAGTTCCTGTAGTCTTCCACCGTAGTAGATACTGTTTGTTAATTTGTGTTGTGAGCTATTGTCCTCCCTCTCTTGCTGGTGGCTCTACACTTTGGGTGTGGCCCGTAACGTCCTTTCATAAAAGATAGAAAACTCTCAAGTTGTGTCAGCAATTAAGATATTCTAACAATTTTCTGAAAAATTACTTAATTCTTCTGGTTACCCCTAATTACCCAGTAATTGATGATTAAAGCCAGGATATGTCTCTCTCGAGGAGATATTGATCATGTAGTCATCTGACTCTGTGAAAATGAAATGAAGGAAGATATCAGAGTACATGAGAATTATATCTATTTGATCCGTTCAGGCAATGTATTTTTTTTTTGCGAAAGAACCAAGGCAGTTAAAAGCACAGTGTCTCGTTTAAAGGTTTATATTCTTCGTTATTTACAGAACCATTTATTACACATAAAATCAGAATTACTGTCCGACTACTTGCGGTGCATGTTTCAAGTCTCGAGTCAATTTACTCAGAATTTTAACTTGCCTTCATTGCGCTTGAAGGCATAAATGCATCCGTCTCTAATTTTTCATTCAAGTTTAGTGTCTACCCTTTTTCTTATGCCACCAATTTCTTTCAAAAGGGAAAGTATTTTGTCTAAAAATTTGTCTTTGGCATCTCGTAGAAAATACCATTCAAACATTACCCTCCATTTTATATATATATATATTTATATTTATACATATGAATGTGTATATATATATATATATATATGTGTGTGTGTGTGTGTGTTAAGAGAAAAAAAGGACGCAACTACATTTTCCCGACAAGCCTGTTTCGTGAATCGCTTCACTCTTCAGGGGTTTATGATTAAACCCCTGAAGAGGGGTTTGAATTTTGACTGTACACGATAGAAAAGGGGAATGAATTTCATTCTGCATCTAAGATTTTAGGTTATCCTTCAAGTGATAGCAGTTCAATGTGATTTTTTAATGTGATATTCATTCAGATTAAAGGCTCGGGAAAACTACGGATCATCGAGTTTGAACTTAAAATCACTCCTCGGGAATCTTCACCTAACACCTCAGGAAAGCAATCTACCATTGAATACATAGGGGCGTGGATCACTAGAAATAAAGCACACCGAAACTGTAAGGGACGATCAGTTTTTACACTCTTGGCCAATGAATAGGAACAAAAGATTTATCGAATGATATTCAGTTTAATTCAGTTTTTCCTTCGGGAAAAATAAATTATCAAATTTTCATGAATTTCTTAAAATCAAGTCAGGTTGGTGTCCTCCACCTCGCTGTTTATGATATTGCGAATCCACGGTAAGAATTCTTTCACGTTTGAATAGACACCATAAGCACCAGGCCTCGCACAACCAATTCCCCAGCTTACGATTCCTTTTAGAAACCACTTGCCGTTGTTCATGCAAACCAGCGGTCCTCCGCTGTCTCCTTGACACGCATCAATGCCTCCTTTAGCATAGCCTGCACACAGCATTCTGGGTGTGATCTTTTTATTTTTGTATGCTGCTTGACAAGTTTGTTGTGCCACTATTGGTACGTTCGCTTCTTGTAGTTTTGCTGACACTTCCCCACCCTGCTCAGTGACTCCAAAACCTGTAACGAAACAGTTGGTTCCAGGGCCAAAGTCAATCTTCTCGTCCACAAGACAGACAGGCCTTACAATCTTGGTTAATTTTGCAGGATTTTTAAGCTTAAGCAACGCAACATCGTAATCTAAAGTTTGTGGGTCGTATTGATCATGTAGGAAGAGCTTTACGACGTTTTCATTCACTTCCTCTGGGTCCTTTTTTCCTTGATTGTACTCTCCCAACGATACCTGAATGTGGGGTATATTTCCCGATTTGGAGTATTTGAACATTTCGTACAAACAGTGAGAAGCAGTCAATACCCACTGAGGATCAATCAGCGAGCCACCACAGAAGATTTTTTCCGATGCAGATCGCTTCAGTCCAGCCTGCCATGGCCACTGACCTCTCTTGGATTCAATTCCCCCGACGATAGAACTCGGCTGCAGTTGCCAAGCAGGTGCGGATGTATTGCCTGCGTCACAAAAAAACAAGTTGAAAACGGGGAATGCAACGAAAGAACAATTACCAACAGAGATTGCATTAGTTTTCAGTTTTTGGGGGTTTGGGTTAATAATGAGTTATAACACTCACGTCATCCCTTCAGCCTTCAGATGCATAACCTCAAAGATTCTGTCAGTCAGGTTATTTTGCGCATTAGATACCTCACTTGTTTTACTTCGAGTCATTCTCCAAGACTTCCTTTTTGATATTTTCCTTTGGTGGAAAAGAGCTCTGATTTTGTGCGACCAATATTTGACCATTATCTAGTTTGTGATTGGTTACAATTTACCAGTATGTCGTCTTTGTGGGTTCCAACAGTCTTCTCGCGTTTTAGTTTATCATTTCAGAGCCATATCGCACCCTCCCAGGTAGGTGCTTGACCGAAAGTATGAGTCAACCTACCTTGAATGCAGGGTGCAGGAACTGAGGGCATCGGTGACCAAGGGACATGAGGAGGTGTCCCGTTGCAAGCTGAGCAAGAGAGAGTGTAATGGCCAAAGCTCAGCACAATTTCTACATAAAGCCAAAAGCTATAATGACTTGAATTTTCTATGATCTTGAGACAATTGTTGGATACCCGATTCTTTGATTCGCCAGCTAATATTAATATAACTTATAATAGCTCTACTGACACTAAAAGGCATAAGTTCTGTTAGCAGCCTGTAGTTTAAAATAACGATTGAAAGAAGCAAATATGAAAAATAAAAAAAAAACAATGTAATAATACAAATTAAAAATACAAAAAGTTAATCCCTACCTCCAACAATTACGAGCTTTTCCTGCGTAATGAGGTCAATTGCTTTATAAGAACATTGCATATTTTGATTTGTGATGTTGGTTAGAGTTATGTTTTTTTCACCAGCCCCTTAAAATATGAATCAAAGCATGTGTGTCAAAACTTTAAGAGAAGTACACGAATAAAAAAAATTGGATCGAAGGTTGAAAGCAAAGATGATAGCCAGAAAACTGGTGTACAAATCAAATGATAGGGGGCGAACGACCCCAAAAATCGGTATCTGCGGTCATAATCCTGTCTAAAATATGACAACAATTTATTTTTCAAGAGACTGTTTATCAGAAAGGAATTCAAAAGAATTTTTGAAAGAGATTTGCAGTTCTTGTGATTTGGTAAGTGATATCATTACAATAGTTGACTTACCTGAGACGTTGTTTCCAAATAGCTGAGAACAAAGGATCACAAAGGCTAACATCATAAAAGTAAACATTTTTACCCTCAATCTTTCTACTATGTGTTAGAATCTTTTCTTACAGCATCTGCCACTGGGGGTGTGTCGTTTCTCAGAGAAACGACAGCACATAGCAGGTCATTTTAACAAATTCTTCAAAGTAAAACGTAATGATGTACTGACTGAAAAGCGCAGAACTGTAGCCAATTTTTTAAACACAGGATATAGTCCGTATCGATTTATAACGATTTTGAATAAATTTGTACGTGCGCAATAAAATCCAAATCTTTGGTGACAAGCGACAGTTGACAACATGAATTTTGCTTAAACACTCTGATGAAAATGAATTTTGCTTACACTCTGATGAAAATGAATTTTGCTTAAACACTGATGAAAATTTCGCAAATAAAACGCAGAAAAATTGTCTCATGGAGAAAGGTTAAATTGATGCTACGAAGCAAATGCGATAATCAGTTTGTTTCCCGACTTTTGAAATTTAATTAAAACAATTGAGCAATGGCACGTGTGGTCTTGTGAGAATGTGTCGTTGTAAAAATCATGAAAGTTTAACTGATGCCCATTATTACACGATTATCGTTAATGCAACGATAAGATTCAGTGTTCAGGTTCGTCTCCTGAAAGTCCCGTTATTTTCTCTATCCACTTCATAGCCTTTTTTATATCCGCATAAACTCCATAGCTTCCTGGGACAGCACAACCTCGTCCCCAGCTCACTAGCCCTTTTAAATACCAATTGTTACCATCCTTACAGACTAGCGGTCCTCCCCCATCCCCCTGACAAGCAACAGCATTGCCTTCCTCAAAACCTGCGCAGAACATTCTCGCTGTTATGGTGCGATCCTGATAAGCTTTCTTACATGCGTAATCACTTGCAATAGGTACTTGAACGGTTATCAGTTTCGTAAAAGAGTTATTTCCGGGTTTTGGCGCTCTGTACCCAGACACAAAGCAGACCGTCCCTGATTCAAAGTCTAATTGTTCAGGGGGCAACTTGACTGGACGAATGTACATCAATGGGCCTTGTTCTACAGGATCTGCGAGCCGTAAGAGTGCAAAGTCGTAGTCTTGAGTATCAGGGTCGTACTTATTGTGAAGGAACACCTCAGTCACGTTCGAGGCGACTCCGTCTTTGTTCCGAAGGTCTTTTTCACCTATGATTACCTCAATTAGTGGGGTTGGCACGAAGTCCTTCATAGCGTAAACACAGTTTCCAGCAGTAAGAACCCAAGAACTACCGATAAGTACGCCGCAACAAAATACATTTGGTTCATTTGGTCGTCTGAGTCCCGCTTGCCAAGTCCAGCTCTCGGGGATCCCTTGGCTTACAGCCTCTATGAGGGCCGACTCCTGCATATATAACAGCTGGTCGATAAGATTACCTGTGGAGAAAAATGACCGTCGCACTCAGTCTGAAGGTGAAAATGTCTTCATGTCGCTGGAAAAGCTGTGCCAGAGGTACTAAAGCTAATTGAGGAGATTTAGACCAAGAAAGAAATTAAACTCAGTAAACGGTGGACCTGGGCACGTACAAATAAACTGAGGCACTAATACGTTACAACGAGTGCAGATATAATTTATTTGCCCATTTTATTCTAGTTTACGCTCTTTGAATATGGAAACACATAAGCATGGTCTAAGCTACGTTGCACACATGCAGTCGCGCCGTTTTCCAAAGATTTCGGCACAATGGTCCATGGATAAATACTACTTGAACTATTGTCAATTAAAAAATTGAAAATTGACTTTTGTTTCGGATGATGAGGTAAACTACTTTAACGATGATATTTCTTATGTAGTATACAAAATCACACCCAACGTAGATAAATACCTGATCTTACTGAAATAATGAATGACGAGAGAAAAAACAAGATAGACGGACCCTTTTTCGGGGGCTGCGACATTGTTTTGGGTCACAGAACATTATACCCTTACAACCAACAAAAGCAACAGGTCAGATGTCAAGGCAACACGCTGTTAGCTGGTTGAGACAACGCCTACAAGCAAATTCACTTCGATTTTGACTTCATGTTTCTGATGAATAACAGCGCTAATGTTACCGTACATGCATTTTCTGAGACATGTCTCTTCTAAGTTAAATGTACTTATGAATTTATACTTCATGTACATCTACACATTATTTCATTGAATAATACGCCGCTTTAACTCTGAGGCGATCATATATGTTTCAATCAAATTACAAATTCACTTGCCCAAATTTTGATCGTTTCAATTGCTATAGATTAAACTTTTCAATCATGCATGCCACTTGTACCGCCGGTACATCACATATCAAGCTATGTTCCAAAAATGCTGGTGTAAATGTTAATTGTTGTGATGATCGTTAACCCTAAAGTTAAAACGTAATTATTTTTCTGCAGTAGGTCTCTGTCTTTTACAAGCGGGTGGCTATATTTAGTCTACTCATGGCACCACCATAGTCACGGTCTAATAAATTCTTAATTATCAAACATGGCGGCCAACTTGTTATACCCGAGTTCGGTTGGGAAACGATGAAAAACTGCAATCCTTGAGGTAAAAGAGATCGGTAAAATAACTAGTTTCTCGAACAAATGTATCGCGTTTTACGGTTCAGACAATATTTTGCCAATTTACCCAAAAAGTAATGCCACTCTTCCTCAGTAAGAACAGGTCGAAACAGCTAAAATTAGGTCTACATTGAACTTAGCTTATGAACATCGTGATTTCTTTATTGGGCTGCTTACACGTGTGATCGTCGTAAATCTAAAGATGTCTTAAGTGTTCGATGTTGAAATCAAATTTTTGTCAAATTGTTTCACGGTAATACAACAGAGGATGGAGAGCATAACAAATTACATGCTGTTAATTGGTTTGATAAATATTAGTCACTCTAAGAAAGAGACAGAGCTCGCCAAATAACAATCTCTTCCTCTTTCTATAGATGAAGATGTGAAAAGCAGATAATATTGTCGATGGCGTTCCGTTGCATTTTGCTCTTCGTTTCCTGTCCATTATTCCACACAGGTAAGAGCAATGATTTCAAAATATGACTAAGTTAATTAATTTTTCTTTGATTCCGCCCCTTGTTTATGTAAGGCTCAAACACACTGATGTGACCGATTTAACTGTATTTAAACGCAAGCACTAAACTAGCTGCGGTTTAAAGTAAATATAAATCAGAGTCGATTTTTAGCTTCTAAAATACAACCCTTGCTTCGAATTGAAAGAAAATGAAAAATGTAAGTTAAAGTCACCGAAGTCATTAACTTTGCTGGATTCACTGACATAAAACTCCCACACCACTAACACAGCCATCCCACAGCACGAAATTTAAAGATCAAACTGACATAAAACCGTGTTCATTCGCCTGAATCCCTTTGCTAAAGGTCACTCATTACCATTAGTTTTGCGACAACAAGAGCTAACAAATGTGAATGGCAAACTCCACTTTCTCGATAATCAGCCGCCTTGTGTGTTCGAGAAAGCATCGGTCTCGCTACGTCCACCGTCAAGTGAATTTATGATCAATTGTGGTGGAATTGACATCCTTTCTTTGCATAATGACTATAATGTTTCGGGACCTGCAAGTTCAAAGGTCCACTTATTGAAAAAATTTTAAAAAAATTAAAAAAAAAAAAAACAATATTCTCCGTCTGTGGGGTTATTATTTTTTCGGTGAGATAGTTTCTTATAATTAGTGCTCAGATTTTCTATACAAAATCAGTCTCGTTGTAGACACTTCATTTAAACATTTCGCTGAGATATACGTTCCAATATTTTCGAAAATAATGTCGAGCGTTACCATTTACGTCGAAGGTCTCGCTTATGACTTGTTTGACCGTGACTGTGTAACCGAACACAACAAGCTGAGAAGGCTTCATGGTTCCCAGTCCCTCTCGTGGTCTGAGTCACTCGCCGTGGATGCACAGAAGTGGGCGGAGTATCTTGCAATAAATGACAAGATCGAACATGATGGTGATACTTTGGCAGAGAAAGACGAGGGTGAGAACATAGCCTGGTTTGTGCCACCTCAACCAAAATGCCAAGGATCTTTGAAACCAAATTGTTTCACGTGTAGCGAGGTAGTGCAGAACTGGTATGACGAGTCAGGGAACTATAACTACCAAATGGGGATCGCAAAGAAGCCTGATTTGCCGATCAAACACTTTGCACAGGTTATAAATATTTCATCGTATCAATATATCCCCTCATCTAGGTAATCGTATAAAACCTTATGCGTTATGAACTTGTATAGAAGCAATAGTGCTTGACTGAGTTGTGTGACCCAAATACAATCTTTATAGTCGAGCGCGTCACGTATTGAACCAGGAGCCCATTACTTAGCTCCTGATTGAACGTGCATTCAGCTCTGTAAGATATGGCCCTAATATTGGCCAATTACTGTACGGAAACTGCCCAATCAAGAGTATAGGATCGTATTCAGAGTAGAAGAAATGTAATGAACACGTGAAAACACTTTTAATTAAAAATTAGAGAAAAAGACATTTTACCGTTACAGGTTGTGTGGAATGCTTCGATGGAAATAGGAGTTGGAAGCGCAATCTCTAAAACTTACGGTTTTATATCAGTGGCTCGATATTCCCCCAAGGGAGGAGAGGGTGGACCGCAAGCCTTCATCAAAAATGTTTTTCCTAAAGGTATTGATTTCGATCAAAGAGCAACTATTTTAAGCACAATCTTTTCATTAACATTATGCGATATCGAAGTGGCCTTGAACTGACAAGGTGAGCTCAAACAGAAAATCAAATATAGAATAGTTATCATCAGTGTGCTAAACAACAATTAGAAGTAGCTGTTATGCAAAAAAAGTTGAAAAAACTTTTGCCCTCTTTGCATCTAGTATCTGACTGGCCTCGATTAATTCTGAGGTTTTCGATAATTTTGATTTTCTCCAAATTTCTTTTTTGTTTTAAAGAGTTTGATTTACAAAAGATATCATTTTCGTTCAGTACACTCTTGGGCATTTCTATCATATATGCATTCGGAAATTTAACGAGACGAGGACTTCAGTCAACAAATATTTTGCATCAAGAACTTGAGCTCCCTCCAATAAAGTCAAAGTAAACTTTTCCAACCTTTCAAGAATTGTAAATCATCAGTCTGGCTACTTGGTCATTCAGATTTCATCAACTGTGACCGTTTTTGTCAAATCCTTTTTAAAACAGGTGCAGTACCCATTTTACAAGAAAGAGATTCGACATCTCCATCCTCAACACCAAAGCCGACCATATTAGGTACGTTTTCTGATATACTCCCTTGTGGAATTCTCTTAAGTCTTATGCAACGAGCTGAAGCATTTGTCAACCCTGATCGTCACATGTTTTGTCATTTACATCGTGCTATTAATAGCTAACTGGATAAGGGAGTTATAAAATAGCCATCAAAGTTAACCATTCACACACTGAAGGTGCCGATCATTTTTGATAACTTCCTTGGCTTCAGAGAAGAGTATCGACCGTTTTCTTCCTCATAAGAACAGATAAAAAGACCCCTATAACAGTTTTTCGCAGAGGAGATCAATCTTGCGGCTCTAATGATTCGTTGCTGGGCACGAGATAAAAGAGTGTTCACGGAAACGAGCGCCTAAAAGGTTTATCGTTTTCTCGACATGTCTCACGGCTCACCGTAACTTTGTTTTTCTTCTTTCTCGAGGGGGGACAGAAAACGCAGCCTTCCAAAATGAAAGCTCGCCGTTTGATACCGATGAAGGTACGAACACAGTTTTACATGCATATAACCAGCCTTAGAAAAATTTGTTTGAATAAGTCATTGTGTTTTGGACAGGTAAATGTTCTTTGTTAGAATTTATTAGCGTAAAAAGTTACACTTAAATATTACACGATGGCCGATGGTGTGATTCTAATCTAGATGAAGTATATAAAACTTTTCCATTCACTGTTACTCAAAACGCTTTCAGAATTGACAAATCAAGAGTTAGAACAAAAACCTATGGAGGATATTACCTGTGGAATTGTCAAAAGGAGAGGGCCAACAGGTAATGAAGCTATTAAACCAGGAGAATTTCCTTGGCAAGTAGGCTTCAGATATCAGAACCGGTTGGGCAAGTCAAACGTGTTTTGTCGCGGATCCTTACTGGATAGAGAGTGGATTTTGACAGCTGCGCACTGCTTTGTAGTTCGTGTAAATCCAAAGTTTAAGTTGAAAGTCCTTTTGGGTGAATTTGATGCTCAGAACGAAGACGGTCGAGAGGTGGTTGCGGAGGCTTCTAAAGTGATTAGACATCCTTTGCACAGAAAGAACACCAAAGATTATAACATTGCGCTTGTCAAGTTAAAAACGCCTCTTAAAGAATTCAACGACTATATGAGGCCAATTTGTTTACCGGATCAAACAGTGTCGTTTTCAGGTGGCGAAATTTGCACTGTAACCGGTTCAGGACTAGATTACTCTTTAGAAAATGCTGAAAATACGCTTCGAGCAATCGATGTTCCCATACTTTCTCCTGTAGAATGTAGAACAAGCGTCCGTTGGTTAACAGACAGAATGTTATGTTCAGGATACACAGAAAGGGTTCTAGATACTTGTAAAGGCGACAGCGGTGGACCTCTTGCATGCTATAACAAGGGAAAGTTTTACTTGGGGGGAATTGTCAGTCACGGTAAAAGATGTTCCAGGGCTCGCTCGCCAAACATTTATACGAACGTGAAATATCTCAAGCCCTGGATTACTCACATAACTAAAACTTATTAGAATTGTAATTTTTATTTAACATACGTCAACTGTTGGTCATTCTTACTAAACATGTTGCCTTTTTAGAGGAAGACAATAGAAAACCTTAATAAATAAGGATAAAAAGAGAGGACTGGTTCACTCATAAACTCTGCGAGAGTGACCATTGTTAGGAAACAACTTGACTTAAATTTTCAAGTATTTAATAATTGGGTCGAGGAGGCTGTTTTTTTTTGTGGTTAGGATTTATCATATCATTTATCATATATCACGCACACTCCTGCTTTCAAGAATCAATTCGATATTTGTAGATATTAAATGGATTTTAAGAGGGACAATCAGCAAAGGAAGTGATTAGCCTAAAAACGTGAGGGATATCATTTATACAACAGTGGTGAGCTAAGAACAGGTTATCATAAGGGCCATAATGTTTCCTTATCATGTTCAGCGCCCGCCCTCGATCTATGACGGAATGCCCCTCAGCTTACCGCTTAAGATTCACGCTATATAAATTGAAGAAGCGCGAACTTTCTTAACTTATTTATTTCGACGACGGAGCCTTAACTCTTCTGGGAACAGTTTCCCACAACCGAAGCTTTTTTTCGTTTTTTTTTCCTTATGATTTTCCAATAGTGGGCGTGGTAATGTGACGTGGGTAATAATTAAGAATTGCTTGTGGATGATTCCCTCCATGGCACCACGTTGCTTGTGCTTTTTACTTTTTTTTTCCCCTATGAATTTCCAACAGTGGGTGTAGTAATGTGACGGAATAGGAGGAGAAAGAATAAATAGTTGCTTGTGGACGATTCCCTCCATAGCACCACGTTGCTTGTACTTTTCAGCAGAGGAATAAGTATTTTTTTGTGTTTGTGGAGAATTTTCAACGTGCTGTTTTTTGGATTGAATACTCAGTCTTAAGACAATCTAATAGTCTGTGGTTTGAAAAAAAAAATTGGGGAAAATTAAAGATATCCCTATCATTGAAGTTCCTTAAATTTTGCACAACCCACACTGCCTACGGTATGATTATTGGTGGAGAAGACATATAGTTGCAGATAACAATTTGCCACTTTTTTTTAATGAAGGAAAAAAAACTATTGATGAAGCTGGAAATTTCTCTCCTCAATCATCTATAAACAATTTTGTCTTGTCAGTTCGCGTGCTGCTTCATTATTGAACATATGGGAGTGTCCTATGTTGAAAAGCGTACAGTTTTATTACGTGGTACCGGTCATCTTTGCACACAAAGAACTCACCAGAATTAGGTAATGAATGCCGCTTGTTTCCTATATAAGCAACTTCAAGCCTGAAAAGATCACAAAATCAACTAGAAGATTGGAAGGAAGACGGAAGAATTGGAAAGGTGTTCGAAATTTGACATGCTCCTATTTCATTTATTTGCATTTATGTTCTGTGCCTCTCTTCTTTGTGTAGGTAAGTTACTTGGATTTAAAGCTGATTTAAATACCAATAGTTTTCTATTGCATTCGGATTGTTTCCAACAGAAGTCACATCTTGACGTTTTAGAATTTTATTTATTTTAAGAATCGCATTCGTGTCGTACAAATCGTGAGCAATTTACAATTCTGTACCAAGGTCCCAAAATTTGAGGCTCTCTAATTCTTGTATCAGTGACTCGTTCGCCAAGTCTTCTTAACTTTAAGACCAAAGTGCCAAAGACCGAAAAAATCAATGAATTGGCCAAGCCGCACAATCGCAACAATTATTTTTTTTATATATTTTTATACGCGAGGTGACCTTCTGGTGGTTTCTTGACGTCTCCTCACCTTGTGATGGTGTAAATTTATTAATCATTATCGTTAAAAAAAGTGAAATGAAATGTAAGAATATCTGTGATCTCTGCACTCTTTAAGTGCGAAATTAATATTCGGGATGTTCAAATTGAAAAACTTTTCAGGTCCGCGATTAGAAAACAAGATGCTTTGATGACTTTGATTTAAATTGTTTAGATGATGGGAAATTCTGAAACAAAATTCAAACTTGAACCATATCCCTGGGGTTTTTGTAACGTCCTGAAATTACTGCATCAGCAGCTAATTTTGTTTTTAAAGAGGTCATCGGATATGACGACTTTGGCAAAACCTGTGTTGTGTCTCACAATGGTCTCAGGAAGATTCATGGCGCACAGCCTGTCGCTTGGTCGGAGGAGTTAGCCAAGGAAGCCACGGAATGGTGCGAAAAACTCGCTATGCAAGGCGAACTAGGAAACGACAACACAACAATGGACTCAAAAAACCGGGGAGAAAATATCGCTGCTACGTCTTTGACTAACACAAAGAGCGGCGGCCCAAGACCCGAATTGTGTGCCATGGCTGTCGACGAGTGGTACTCGGAAATAGTGAACTACAATTTTGAGACGGGATTGCCTAAATCTCCTGGATTGCCTATCAAACATTTTGCTCAGGTAATGACCGATAATTTCCCATAATGCACCACAGTATGTCGTCCACAATGAATATTTGACGATCAACGAATGAGCCGGAAATTAGATATTTTTCCGGCACGTTAGCAACGTGAAGGTGCATTGTGGGTATCGAGATGTGAGTATTTAACCCTGCGTTTGCACGTGGGTAATCATTCTACGCCGACACCAATTTGTCGCATTTCGTAGCTTTTTTTAAATGTATCTAGCTAACCTAGTAGGATGGCCTTATGAGTTTGGGCCCGGTTCCCACCCAGACTTACTGTCTGTTTTTACCCTACGGGATTTTTTCGACAGGTTTTTTTTAGCGGCCATTCTGACCACAATGTTTATCAGTGGTTGCTCAGCTCTCGGTGTGTGTGTGATTTGAATGTGCTGGAATAGCGATAATTGTCAGTTTGATGAATCTGTACTACACATAGGTTGTATGTGTGTTCTCTCTATTATTCTGTAAGCTGTAATTCAGCCTAACCGCGCAAAATAAACATGATGGTTCAATATTTGAGCTGTCTGTTGTGCAGTAAGACCGAAATCGCTCATCTCTTGGTATCAGTTAGTATTCTTAAAATATCTTCAATTTTTCAACATACATGTGATCACATAAACGGCTCTTGTTGCTTCATTCGCCGTAAATGTTGAGAAACCCTCTATCATGTCTGAATGACATAGAAAAGGGTTTAAAACAATAGTAGTAACCGGAAAAAGTGAGGATCAGATTGTTATGGCTTGTTTTAAAAAAATGATTGTGTAAGATAAATATGCTCGACATGTGTTTCTTAGAGCAGAATTTGTAACAGGCTGTAGATTTGCGAATGCATTCGGTGGTTTTTAAAGCGAACGAGGCACGTTTTCCATGTCATTGTGTTTCAAATTCATGTTTATAAATCCAATCCGTGTTTTAAAAACTCCAATCCGACTCGTGTGTTAGCAATATTTTTTCCTCTAACATTTATTCCTTCATTGACTGAAGATTGTCTGGAACAGTACATTTGAAATTGGTGCTGGAACTGCTCGATCCTCAGCTCATGGTGACATTGTCTGCGTTCACTACAGTCCACGAGGAGCTGAAGGAGACCCTGATGCGTTTAAGGCAAATGTCTTTCCTGAAATGGGTAGGTTAAATTATTGTAATTCAACCCCAGTAGTTATTGATGGCTCGTAGTTCTTTATTTACTTCAAAAGATAGATTTCGTGAGTCAGTGAAGCATATACGTTCCATATGCGTGCGACGAGTGTTGTAACAACCCGTGATATTTCAGCAGATATATGAAAGAAGCTTTAAGATGGACCGGAAGGTCCTGAAGTCCTCCTTAGCCATCTCTGCATGTTACTACCGTCGTTATGATATCTGAAATCGTAGAGGAGTGTCGTTTTCCTTTATAATCCTACTAATCCCAGCGTCAATGTGATAACCAGGCTAAAAACAGATTTCAGAATCGTCATATTGATTATGCAAAAATAACTTTTTTTCATAAATAAAAAAAATTCCCTCAAAGGTTAGGAAACCCCTTTGATAAACAATCATGGCAGAGACCGATCAACAGAAAATATTTCGGTTTCGACCACTCGTCACAAGAGGTTATAATCTCTTTCTCGCCATCAATATTTCACATAAATGTTAACATTACCGCAGTACCTCCACCAAGGTAAACTATCAAGTGAATACACCTTTTTCGTGGGCCAAGGTGATTGCACATTACGTATACGTGATGGCTACACTTAAGAGATATCCATCAAGGTGGCAAACGAACATGAATATGATAAATTTTCAAAAAAACCAACCCCTCGAGGACCTTCGCATATTCTTTAGCGTGACATCAAATCGACGATCTAAAAAGGACTATTAAATATTCTTTGAAAAACAATGGAAGCTAGAGGGATATCAGAATGTGACATTTTGAACCATCTGTTTCAATCTTAGGTGCTCCTCCAAGCAACCTCACAGAAGAAGGTAATAGGCATTTTTTTCCCTTTTATCAGATGAGGTATGGCGAGGAATATCCCCAATGAATTTAAGACTCTGATATGAAGTAGTTGCCTTATTTAAAAAAAAGTGATAATTTCAAGACTACACAACCACGAATCAACAAATTGCAAAATAAAAATTATAGTTTATTCGAATTCCACACAGGAATCAAATCTTTTGGCGTTCAACAAAGTGATCAGAAGGGAAAGTATAGTGGGAGTATTACCTGCGGTATCGGTAGGAGGTCTCGCATCGTCGGTGGGGAGCGAGCGAGGCCTTCTGAACTTCCCTGGCAGGTTGGCTTCAGATATGACGGTCCTTACAGCAGAACGAACATTTTCTGCGGTGGAACTCTCATCGATAAGAAGTGGGTGGTGACAGCTGCCCACTGCTTTGAACAGATAAGATACGATATGACGCTTAAGGTCATTTTGGCAGAATTTGATACAAAAAACGAGGATGGAAATGAAGTGATAATTCCTGCGGAAAAGGTAGTGAGAACCGTGGTATTATTAACGTGATATTTATACCGAGATGATGGCACTTATAACTGCCAGAATATTATCCTCGAGTCGAAAAACTTGGGTTGAAGTTTTCAAACCAACTATAATTATATCGTTACACACCAATAGCAAACAGTTCTTTACTTTTTTTCGTTCTCAACTAATTTTGGATCATGTGAAGTCACTCTGATCAATTGTTATTATGAAATATGAATAATGTTTGCGTAAATATAAATTAATAAATTCAGTGTGGAAAAGAGTTCCCTTGAGAACCAAATCTTACACCATAATACCATAATACTTGGGACGTTAAATTTTAGTTCTTAAAAAATGCTGTCATCATATTAAAGGGGAAGTATTTGGTAATGCCGATATAATACACGTTTAAAACGATTGTCAAAAGTTGTCGATAATTTGGACATAATTTATCATTTTAGGTCATCAGTCATTCTCGATACAACAAACGGACAAAGGATAACGACATAACTCTGGTAGAGTTGAGCCAGGAAGTAGAATTCAGCGACAACATAAAGCCAATCTGTATGCCAACAAGTAGCACCGATTTTTCTACTGGAACCATGTGCACCGTCAGTGGGTTTGGCACAATTCGGTCGGGAGGACCACAGTCCAGGTATCTGATGAAAGCTAATGTCCCACTTGTCGACCACCAAGAGTGCAAAAATAGCTACCGGTCACTTACGGAAAACATGATCTGCGCTGGATACAGAGAGGGGGGGATTGATTCCTGTCAGGGTGATAGTGGAGGCCCTTTAGTGTGCCCCCAAAATGGAAAATTTTTTCTGACAGGGGTTGTGAGCTATGGCATCGGATGCGCCAGACCAGGGTATCCAGGTGTGTACACAAATGTCAAAAAACTCCTGAACTGGATCGAAACAACAAAGAGTAGTAACTAAACAAACTAGATAAACAATGCTATGAGAGACAATTTAAACATAGTCATGATCACTTCAACGGACGAAAACAAGCTTTCTATTTAAGGTAAACATGTAACAAGGTGTAGTTCCGTTGAACTTACGTAAATTAAACCATGCAATAAAATTTAAATAGCGACGGCCGACAGTTATTTTAAACTATTCTTCTAAGACTGCAGACGTGTTAAAATATTACAATACAACGTGTTTTAACCCTTTAACTTCAAGGAATTACTAGCGTCTAATTTCCCCTTCCGGTATCACCTCTTAATCAAACACTAAGATCAAAAGAATTAAGGGATTTATCCCCACCGAAAAAAGCTCTTGATTGTTAAGAAAATTCTCTTTTCAGTATTATTCCAAATGTATAAAGAACACTAAGGAGATTATGCATGCTAATGCGGAGGTGTTAACTGTTAAGTCCTACTGGCAGTTTGCTTAGGGCGTTAAATGGGACACCTTACAATTCCCCTTTTGCGAAGCAAGCCTTTGAACAGTTGAAAAATTACAATAATTATTTGAATAGCCGTTTAACTTGTTTATTAGGTCTAAACCTTTTTTCCTCATACGTACCACAGTTGTAGACCATTTATAAAAGTTCATAGCACTTTGATTTGAAACACGAACGGCTAAAAATAGTGCTTGCTTGTGCTATTTAGTGAATCTACCCATCTTGTTCGCCTTAAATTGTGATCAGGCCACAAACCTCTTGTTAGAAGTAACTATGTCCTGCTTTGATTTGCATACCTACCACTGGGTCTTCAAAGAAAGGGTACGGAAATTACTACTTGCATTTCGTTCGAATATCTCCGAAGCTAAAGTAAGACTGTTTTCATTTGTATGTCGCAGAAAGCAATTATCCTAATTAGCGCCTTTTTTTTTCGAATAGTGAAGTAACACAAATACCAATAGCCAAAATTTTCACCAATTTTTACTACATTATAGCATGTGAAAATAGACCTCGAAATAAATCCATTATCAGTCGTGGCTTAAAGCAGGCACACCCCGCTACTGGTTTTAAACTAAAGTTGGAAAGCCCTATGAAAACAACATTTAATTAACCCAATGTTTGTCCTTATTAACACCTTCTGTGTAACATTCAGTTTAATGGCTTTACTAAAACTTAAAGGAGTGGGTTTTTAATTAATGCAATGACTTTTTGTAGAGGTTCCCCTGAGCGCAGAAAAAAAAGAAGCTCGTCCTGTATAATACCGGTATAGTATCCTACTGTAATTGCTGCTGAAATTATTCCCGAGGTCGTAAACGTTAGAATTTTTTATTTTATCAATACTTGAATAGGAAAGACATCAGTCAAAACTAGCCGGTCGGTGCGTTCCATTTCTAATGGGATCCTTGAGTACAACCAATCCAGCTTGAGCAGTCAGCTTGAAAAAATTTCCACTGGTAGTTTAATTTTTGTGAAGACGTGGGGAAAAAAAGGGTCTATTAATCTTTATTTTTTTTACTAATATAACGTGGTCGTTCAGGTCCAACTGAAAAAGTTATTTGTTTACATTCGTCTCAGGATCTTTACCTGAGTATTTCCGTATATTGAATGCTACATATTTTCTCTTTACTTCTCATCTAACCATGGAAAAAGTTCTGAAGACAAACGATACCTTAAATTTCTACGTATTTTTCATATATCCGCCTTTGCCATGCAGCATACGTTTGAAATTGCTGACCCCAGCACAGCGGGATGCGATTGACATTCTGAAGGCCGCGCAGTTGTCACCCAAGGCTCTGTTGAGAAGTCGAACTTTGCTTAAGACGAATCGAATTCAGTAGATTAGGATGAGTGCTGTGTCTGATCTACTTCGAAGCGACTAATTTAAGTTATTTCTGTTCAGCCTTTCATCACTTAAAGTTTAACTTGGATTACGACCCTGGATTAGCTTTCAATAGCCGTACGTTGCGCTTAACATTACATGGACTGAACAAAACATAAATCATTCTATAAATCCGCCTTTTTCTTTTTTTGAACCGAATTTAACCAGAATCTAGGTCGGCTCCACGATTGATTCTATAGAATTAAGATAGCTAAAGCTGTTGATTCGACAGGCTCAAACTCGATTCAATTTATGTAAAGTATATGGCATGTAAACTGGCCTAAATTACAACGAATTTGTTTTGGTTTATATTTTATGCATGAGCCTGTGACAGAAGTATGCGGGTCACAGATCCGAAGACTCCAACTCGTGGACCTTTCTTTGTCCAATACTATTCGGGTAAATTAATTTAAACAAACACCTTTCTTTAGAGGAATAATGCAAATATTCTTAGATAAATTAGACGCAAAACTTTGTCTTAGAAAGCTTTTTCCTTTTAGGGAATATTTAGCCCCTGTTATTGCTTTACTAGATGATTTCGATCACGTGGTTCCTCCCTATCGTAGTTTTATCTATGGTTGGGGAATTTTCCAACGCAAGATCGGCCACTTGCCACTCCGACGATCACTGTCGCACCGAACAGTCCGCCCTGGGTAAGGCGCTTATCGGATTCACTTACCGGACTCTTGGGAATAGGACTCCTCTTGAGTGTTATGAAGCATGTGAAGCGGACATTATTTGCCAAAGTATCAATTTCTACGTGATCACAAAACAGTGCGAATTTAACAACCGCACGAAGGATGCACGCCCAGGGCATTTCTTTGAAGATAGCCATCGGTTCTACTTGAAGCGAATTACAAATCCAGGTAAAGTGGGAAAGCACCAATGAAGCTCTTTTAATTGAATTTTCTTTGTCTTCGAATAGCAATACAGACTTGGCTGGTGGAGTACAACTTGGAGAAATCGCGCTAGTAATAATAATTTTAACTCAGCGATCGAGAAGGGAGGGAGTAGTTTGAACAACTTTCAAGTTTCAAGCACGACTGCCCCTTAATTTTCTCACTCAAGGACCAAATCAGTGGTATGAAGACTTTATCATTTCCAATAGGTGTTCAACTTTGGTTGGATATCTCCAGCTACTCAACAACAATAGAGATTAAATTTGCAGGAGAAATGTTATTGACGAGATGTTTTGGTGATCAGTTAGGAGCTAAATGTCTATTAATGTCTATTACTGCCGAAAACTATCCCCTTAAAGCGGATCTTCTGGAATTGACAAACAGCTTTGTTTAATCAGTTGATCATTCTGCACCATAGAGCGGCGGTCAGTAAAGAGCGAATTGTATGTGTTATATTTCATCTGCCCTCGCTACATTAAGACATGCTTTGCTATTCTATCATCAGTTAAACTGGGATCAATCAAAGAGCTACCTGCATTTTCCTGCCAAGAGATAAAAGAGAGTGAAGGCGACTACTATCTGAGCGGTTACTATTGGCTAAAACCAGATAACTCCAGTAAGACACTGCCGTCGTATGTTTACTGTGCCATGCCGTATCGAGGTGAGATTTTTCAAACAGTAGTTTTCTCATGCAAAAGCCTTAGTCTTAACGCTGTTACTAGTTGAAGAGAGACGTATACCTACAGAATGTAAGGAAAGCCTTTGACAAGGCCGCATAGGCATGAATCACAATGACACGCTTTTCCAAAGCTTTTTTCCATTGCCTGTCGTAAATCCATAACATCACTATTATCATATCATTGCAAAATATCACACGAAGCCAATAAGCGCTTAAAGAATTACATGTTATAACTACCTCATGGGCATTTTTCATCTGGTGGGCCTAAAGAGAGGTTTGGTGAATTTCTGAACAGATAACCAGGCTTTGGACAGCATAATCGATGCATTACCAATTTACTTATCACTTTCAAATGCAAAACGCTATCAACTTGTGCCACTATTCCTTAAGCTTTATCAAAAACTTAGCCCCAGCTGGTTTAAGTCAAATGACTTTAACCGGTGCTGATGCCTTTATTCACCAAGACAGTCAGTGACTATACCTACTCCACACGAGCTATTATTGTATTGTTTTAGTACTTTAAAATGGCAGAAAACGTAGAGAACATGATAATTATACTTGGAAAAGCACACATTTCGTGGACTTCTTTACCTCGAGGAGCATTCAGACCGGAAAATCCATAAGCAAACTAGTAAAATTTTATTGAAATTTAGAGTCAATCTTCCTAATCATTTTTCAACCAGTTTCTATAGAATTGAAGTCCTAATAATTGTGAGTGAGATAAATTTTCTAAATTTTTTCACCTCCTCTATTTAGCTACGATCTGCGCCAGCATAAAATGATTCGTAAAATTTTATTTTAACAGTCGGAGACAAAAATACCAGAGTAGGCAAAACTGAAGGATATTCAATTCCCAGTACTTCTCGATATTCAATCACTGCCTACGGAGCACGAGGCGGAACTCACAGCTACAATTATGGATATCGACCTGGGACATACTCTGGTGGTAGAGGTGCCAAGATTAAAGGAATTTTCAGTCTTTCAAAAGGAACTGTATTAGTCCTTGTGGTGGGAAAGAGAGGGGGTAATTCAGTAGAAGTGAAAGGTGGGATGCGAACCAGTAAGACAGCAGCTGAATTGGGTTTGTCAGTGGAAGATAATGCCGGCACCGGGGGAGGGGGAGGAAGTTTCGTTTACACGGTAGGACAGGAAAAAATACTTTTGATTGCAGCTGGAGGGGGAGGGGGTGCATCTGGGGGATTTAATGGCATTGATGGTCAGGCTGGAGAAGACGGCACTGAATCCAATGGTTTAAGCCCGTTGCGCGTCAAAAAAGGGGGAAAAGGTGGTCAACCAGGTGAATGTAATACCTATGGTGGAAACTGGCACGGAGGAGCAGGTGCGGGCTGGCTCGGTTCAGCATGTAAAAGAAGGTATGGCGCCAACGGTGATGGTGGGGGATCACTTGATCGTGCCTGGGCCGGAGGACAAGCAGGTTGGATGAACACTGGGACCAACGGAGGACCATTCCCAGGGGCTATGGGTGGTTATGGTGGAGGCGGAGGGGGCGCGGAAGATAATGGAGCATCAGGTGGAGGCGGGGGATATTCTGGAGGCGGAAGTGGCACAGGGAGTCGGCAAGCAGGGGGTGGCGGGGGCTCATATTGCGGTGGTGAAAGCTGTATAGCAATTACTGGTGGAAATATGTTTGATTATGGAATGATAACTATCGAAGAAATCTTTGAATAACATCCTGTAAACTGTTTTTTCTATGAATGGGCCTGTTATAAGATAATATACAGCAATTTTCTGCAGTACTTATTGATATCGCGTTGCAATGTTACTCTTCAAGGTGTAGACTGACGAGAATTTCTCAAAGCCAGTTGTTCCCCAATTCTTACCAAACACATACCCATTGTCAGAACTGACTTGTCAGACCAATTTTTTCAAAAAATGAATGTCTTTTTTCCGAGAAGCATCCTTTTTGTCTCAACTTGATTTACTGACGTCGAATCTTTTGTTAAGCAGCTTACTTTCATGCTTCATCTACGAGGGTGATGTGGCAATAACTTAAAGCCGGTGTCTTTCAGGACTTTGCATTCGCTGTCTGACAAATTATTTGATAATAGTAATAATGACAGTAATAGTAACGACGTACTATAATAATAATAGTAATAATGATAACACTGATGATGATGATAATAATAATAATAATAATATTATTAATAATAATGGGAATTAGCAATGGACATTCCACGAGGTTACTCTTTTTGCCCACCGTTTCCAGGTTGAATTGGAATTTAGAGTGAGTCCAGAGAATTGCACAAATACACAATAAGAATGGTAAATGTTTCTTACTTATGACAATTGTGGAATTGGTTTAAACGAAGTTCTTTTGAGAGTCTAATGGTCAGAATAAACTTTCATGTTATTGAATGTCGTTTGTCGTCATCAAAACGTTTCCTCTGCGTTTGTCGCACCAGTAATTTGTGAAATCTGAGCATTGGGAGAGTCGACAGCAATGGTCGATTATAATTATAAAAATGAGTATGGTGATTATATTGGCGTTTGAAGGATTTCCTCGAGGCTTATACTGTAACGACTAAATTATTTTCAGATAAAGCAATTTATTAACAAAAGGGCAAAAATAACTCATCAGCAATAAACTAATACAGTTGAACAACAATCAACAATTTACACAATGTCATCAAACATTTTCCTCATGAAATCATTAATTCATAATCAACTGATTAACTTTGCTATGGATGTCAATAATATTTGTATTTGAATGAAAAAAAGAAACAAACAGTATTCTAGAAAAGGTTTTTTAGGTATATGACCGGGAAGCTAACCCACGTAAGGTCTTACTTTGATGCTGTGTTTCCCTGCTCCTGGAACCAGCGCGCGAGTCCGTAAGTCCACTTTTCATTCTTTGCTTTTGAAAGAAAATCCGCTGTAGGTTTACTTGCGGGCGCGTAATTAAGTTTTGAAATATGGCGGCAACAATCCCGTCAACCGTGGCGGCGATCGAGCGGCCACATTGCGGCCGGATTAAGACCGTAACAACCTGAGTGATGAAACAACGTTATCTTTAAAGATCTTAAGGGAGTACCAGCGCACTGAATCAATATTAAGATCATTTATAGACACAAGTAAGTACTATTTTATAATATTTGGTTAATACTGTTAAGGCTGAAATTTCAATACTCATGCTCCGAAAAAGTTTCAGTTTAATTTAATTAAAGTGGGGCTTCGTGCAAACACCTTGATTGTGTAAAAATAAACTTATGTGCACGAGAATACAGATAAGTTTCATATCTGAGGTTTGTACCTATCCTTGCTGTAAAACAGGGGCTTGCGCCACCTCATTTTCTCGGAAATGGTAACTGGTTATTCCATGATTGATTGTTTACAATCGAGGCTGTGTACAGTGATAACTGCATTAGGGTTCCTCTAGCGTTTTTAGCTCAGATTTCAAACATTTTTCATGGAAAAGAGAGCTAAATTTTGGCCAGGGACACACAGATTTCCCATGCAAATTTTTCATAATAACACACATAAATAAGTATCGGTCAAAATTTGTGTAAAATACTGAATAGTTCATTGAAATTTGTGAAAGAGGTAAAAGTAGGGAAAAGAAGAATTTCTGTTGAATTGCTATTTTGCTTTAAGCCTTTCATAAAAGTGAGCTATGTGTTTGAAACACCATGTTGTGCTGCAAGTTGCTCAATGAGATTGTTTTATCACTTAAACAATAGATGAGAAAAACATTTCTGTGGTGCAAGGTATTAATGACTGCTCTGTTGGCATTCATATATTTCCTTCTTGTACATAAGCCAAATAAGCAAATATTGTATGTAGTAAAATAGATGATGGTTATTCATCCTGGTAAATAACACTTCAAAAGAAAAATATAATTGTTTCTCTCATGATATGGTCACTTTGAATGTGGATTGTGATATCTTGACTGCATACTGCTAGTCTTCTTCAGGAAATGAGGTCAATCAAGTATGTGTCTCCTATATGCTGTTGTGTTTAGCAGTGATTGGATTGAATTCCACAGCTGTGATTGGTGCAGCTTTCAGATCAGTTTCCCTCTGAGGTCCTCTGTTGCATGGCTCTATACTGCTGTTGTGTTTTTGGATAGTTAGCTTCCAGGCCTCTGGGATTTCAATTCCATTATCCTTTTTAATGTTGTTAGAGTGAGGTGTTATGTGAATTGCCTCTTTTACCCTGCATGTGTAGAAATGGGGATCACAATCAATAAACTTTATTTTCATTCCAGAGCAGGCAGTTTCTGGTGTTGTAGGCATGCTCCTGGGTGGCAGTGGTCTATGCCTTTGCAAGTGGGATATGCCTGTCAAGTTCCTTGATTCTCTCCTGCATTGATCTACCAGTTTCACTGATGTTAACCTTATGCACTTACAGGAAATCCTGTAGACTATGCAGCATTCAAAGGATTCGCTGTGAGTGTGGGATTAGGTTTACATTGGTAAAACCGGCAGACCTATGCAGGAGAGAATCAAGGCACACAAAAGGGATATCCAACTCATTAAAATGCAGGCCTCAGCCATCTCATAGCATGCCCATAACGCCAGATGCCACCTTCTCTGGAACTAAAGTAAAGTTTCTTGACTGTATCCCCATTTCTATACATGCAGGGTAAAAGAGGCAATTCACCTATGACTTCACCCTAGCAACATCAACAGGGACAAAAGCACACAACAGCAGGAGAGCCTTTTGGCAGCAGACCACAGAGGGGAAACTGATCCAAATGATGTACCAATCACAGCTGAGAACAACAGCATATAATTAGATGATGCATACTCAATCAACCTCATCACCTGAAGAAGTCAGGCAGTATGCAGTTGAAACGTTGCAATCCACATCCAAAGTGACCACATTGTGAGACAAACTATTATTTTTCTCTTTTGAAGCAAATAGTCTGTTTGAACATGCTGGTTGGCTTGCTTGGAGGTGATAAGCCTAGAGATACTCACCTTGTAGCCACCAAAGAAAAACAAACTGGCTTCCTTTTTTTCTTGAGACCCAGGAGAGGAAATTTCAACAGTAAAAGTGGAAGTTGCACTAAGAACAAAAAATGATTGGTAATTTGTTTCAATAGAATTTCAAAGTAGGTATGTTGATAGCTCCAAATTATAATTTTAAGACAAAATTTAAAAGTCCAGTGCCTTGAATGAGAACTAAAGAGTACAGGCTATATTTACAATGTAATGAACTAAATGCTTTCCAGACCATCAAAATGATCAACAACAAGATGATTTTCTAACACTAACTAAACAAATTACACCCAAACAAGTTAAAAACTTTAAGATTTTTATTTGTCAACCATAAAGGGACATAACCTAGTAAAGGAAAGTTCTTTCTGTACAAAGAGAGAGCTTGCTTAGACCTATGGAGAGTGTAGCTTGTGGAATTTTAAACTGTATAATCATTTGAAAAAAATGATATTATATCTTAGTCTGTTGTAATCCAGCTTCAATGGTATGTACTAAAACAATTATTCACCCTAGTACTGGCGAAAGTGGAGGATATTTTCCCTCACTTTGGTGAACAATAGTTAATATTGTTATAGTGGCAGCAAAGGTACTGACAAGACAGCCAAAGTTACCTGGGCATTTAACCCTTTAACTCCCAAGATCTCATTAGTAATTCACCTTACTGTCTGCTAAATGATTCTTATTGAGTTAGTTTGGAGAATTTAGTATTGGATCAATCAGTAATTCCATGATTGATATTGTATAGATATAGTAATGAGAAATTCTGTCTTGGTCACTCATGGGAGTTAAAAGGTTAATAGGGCTATCCTAGCACATGGGATAAGTTTTTCCCCTCTTTAACTGCTTTAGTTGGAGATCAGTTGACAGAGTGTGGTAGAACTCCACAAGATCAAATACATGTGAAGTCATTTTTAGCTGATAAGCACTAGTTTAGACTTCAGTGAAAATTTTTCCAGCTGCAAACTTGTTAGCTCCGATTCAGGCATGGACAAGGGACTGATTTGGGTAAAAGACTTGTGCATCCTATTTTGGATCATTTGCAGTCATGGAATTATTTGCAGAGCTGCACAGAACTTGCTCAATCAGGAAAACTTTGTTTTTGCCTCAAGTGAAAAATATTAGTGCTGCAAAATAAATTTATAATAAAATCTTTTTTTTTCTTAGTTTGTGAGCTGGCGGTATTCTACAAATCCTGCAATCTGATTGGTTCCAAGAGCGGGCAGTATTCTCCCTATTCAGCCCACTCACAGCAGGTCAGGTTCTTTTTGCAACCACTTGTTAGGTTTTAGAAAAAAATTAAAATGTTATTCACCAGCCAAGGTCAGTCTGCATTGGGAAAAACTGTGCCCTCTGTCTTGTGTGCCACCCTCAGCCTATCGCCTTGGGTGGTATCCAAGACCTCAGGCACAGTTTTTCCTAATACAGACCTCCCATCTGGTGAATAACATATATATCTTTTACTTTTCAAAGAAAGTTGAAGAAAAATTCAACTCTTTAACAGTAGTTTCGATAAGTTATGATCTTAAACAAGTATCACTCAAAATTTTTTTAATCTTAAGATTATTTATGGTGTGGTTTTGAACTTTTTTGCATGTCTTGAGAATCTGGTTTCTGTTATCCAACAATTACTTAGTGTATAATTTGAGTGAGACTGTGAGTGACAAGCAAATCAGTCATCGTACCGAAATGATAAATGATGAGACATAGATTACTGGTGGCCAAGCATCT